GCGTTTCATAGCGGCCATGCTGACCTGACGTTCTTTCTTTTTTGTTTATCTTTCCTTTCATTTCTTTTTGGGACGGACAACAAAGGGGAAGGGTGCAGTGTCAAGTCTTCTTTCTTTCTTTCTTTCTTTCTTTCTTTCTTTCTTTGTCATTCAAATCTCACATCTATCCTCTCATCTTACCATGTCCATGATACCATTCCACGCTGTACAGTTGCGCCCCCGGAGGAAAGGGGGTATGAATGTTTGCCAAGTAGACGAGTTAGACGAGTTGATATCCGCCAAGTCTTGTGCAATCTGATAAATGCAGCTTACGTTCCACTGCCAAGCAACAATAGACCAGCAGATCGCCCTCGGTCCGACCGCCAAGAACCCCTTGGAGGGAGGGAGGCGAGCGTAGAGTGTAGACTTAAGATAGATGATTGCCGATCTGGTTCCTACTTAGACGGGGAAGGATCCGTTCGGTGTCTTGCCAATGTCTTGGGTGGTATCCATCCATCCTCTGCAGAGTGTAGTGAAATCTTCCAACCAACTACGGTAGGTAAAAGCTGTCGGTAGATCAACTAGTCCACAACAATACACCGAAGTATATGATATTACTCCCAAAGACTATCGGGAAGGATCCCGATGGATCGACCTTTCTTTTTACCGAATCCGTCGCTTGATTTCCAGTTCCCCAAGGAGTAATCAAATCCCCGTCATCTCATTTCCATCTCATCAAACGGTATTCTAATTCGAACCGCCTACTTCGCCCTCCCACCCGTTCGAATCCAAAGAGCGCCCCCAAAAATAAACATAAAAAAGAAAGCATAAAACAAGAGCCGACGCAGTCTCAAACTGAATCGTCATCATCCAACCACAAACACTCTAGGCCCTGTCTTCCGACTCCTGGCTTATCAAACTTATCTCGACCAACATGCTACCCCCCTTCCTTCATACATCTCGCCAACAGGTTAGGCAACAAACGGGGAATTAATTTCCTAAACGGCCCCCACCTACGTCTTTCGTCCTGAGTAATATCATGGGGAAATTAGGTACTTGGGTGTGAAACCAGACTACGTAGATCATCTTACTCTCTGAGTCTCTGGGGATGATAGGTAGTCTGGGCGTCCATTCGTTACTTCTACCGTACGGAGTACATGATGTTGATGCTACCACGTACATGCATACGTATACATAAATAGACACCTACTTGACTGTAGATTGCGTATGTACTTCCCTTCCAAGGCCCCAAGATGAAGCCTGTCTTGTCGTCTCACATTCTACTGCCAAGCCCCCGACCCTTATCCCTTGCGCAAGATTAGACCAGAACGCCACCTGGAAAAGACCAGGCCTCCCTCTGCAAGCTCCCTGCCAATGATATGTCCGCCTTGTGCACCTGCTGATAAGGGCTTGTGTTCTTGGGGGATGATAGGAAACTGGTTCTGCATGTCGATGATCTTGTAGACTTTCTTGATCTCGGTTATATTGTACTAGACTTGACTGGACTGTGTTATTGCGTGTGGGTGTGCGTATGCGTATAAGCACAGTACCCCCTGTTGTCTTATTTCCTGCGGAGTGTCTCCTCTCCGGAGTACCAGAATGTGAAATGAAGTCTTGGCCCGCTCGTCCGCCCAGCCCTAGTCTACATACAGATATGCATACGGAGGAAGATACTTCTCTGTGGTAGCTATCCACGGCAAAAGAAAGCCAGGAAGTGTATCATTGGATTTTACCTACTTTTTTCTTTCTTTTTTCCCTTTATCTTCTCACCCCTCACGTCTGTCTTCTTTCTTATCTTTTGGGGTTTCTTGCTCTGCTTTTCCGTCCATTTCAAATTAATATAACACATCATAAACTACTCCTTTGACCAAGAACCTACCATCCCAACCCAGCATCCGAAAAACAACTAGTACAGAAATGCACACCTGAGCAATACTACTTACTCACTTGCCTAGACCCCTCCCCCTCTGCCCAGACTTGAAAATCTACGGATAAACAGACAGCCCTGCTCGGTCCAGCGGACCGAGACGGGACAAGCCAGAACTGCGTCCGTCCATCTCTCGGCATATCCACATCCTCGATCGGACGGCTTCCGACGGTGATATTTATTGGTGGGATATTTTTTTTCTAGATATGCATGCAACCGGTGAAGACTCCGGAGCAAAAGCGACTTGCCGATTTTGCTTTGTCCTGTTTGGTCCTCGCGTAGGCAGGCCTGCGGTGTCGTTGTAGACTGGGTAGTTGATAAAATTAAAACCTAGGAATTCAGAGGTGGTTGTGCTGTTCTTCTTGAGGGGCTGTTTATTTGTGGCCGTAGGTGTATTTTGGTTATTGGTGACAATTTGCATGGACAGTCATGCCATCCTGGTATAGGAAGTCAGTTGGGTGTGAGGAAATGTAAAAGATGGTCTACCGACTAGACTACTTCGAAGGGTACAGTATTTTCTATATAAGAGATAATGCTATAAGCTAGTGTATTAATAGCCTCCATATCTCGTCATAACCAAGCTATTCCAAGACGAGGAAATTGGGTTGTATATAATATAAATAGCCCGGGCCGTCAGGCATCAAGATCTTGCTCTTTGTAATGAGATTATTAATTATCGCTTGCACCTCGTCTACCCTCATTCTGGACGTTTTAGAGCTTTATGGCTCCTCAAAGCCCAGTTGTTGAACAGTGAAATATACACTCTATAGCTCCCACGTTATTCAATCCGGGCATGAGACCGTCATGGAACGCTCTATGTTGTTCCCTCCAAAGACCAAGGCTATGGTTTAATGAATCGTGTGAGCTTTTCACTATGCTTCGCTTTGGGAAAATCAACATGGATATATATACTTCGAAGAGCATGCTTGAAACTGTCTAGGAAAGATCTACAGATCTTCAGATTTACAGATCGTCCATAACATCTGGCTCGAGTCTCCACTGGAAGGCCATGTAGATGTAGCTGTGCGTGCACTCAACGTGGAAGTAATGTCAGGTCCGGGCTCTGTTCAGGAGAAAGTCCATGGCTTTGGTGCTCGGTTGCCAACGGCGTGGCTCTTCCCTACACCCCTAAGTGCATCTGAGAATGTATGTACCTCATCCGATTTAATATCGTAACAGTGAGGGAGGACAAGGTTTTGAATCATGCGATATGCTATGCGATGAGAGATTGATTTTGAAGGGGTTGCTGTACTATATATAATATAGATTTAAGGGCAAATTCAAGTTTCATGACTCTCTGGGCCACCGTTGGAAAGAAAATGACATCCAGGTAATTAGGGCTGCGTTCATCGCGTGAGACTGTCGGAATTTAGCGGACAGCCTAGATCCAGCGCCACATCGCTCTACCAAATAGGTGTCGAAATAGGTTAGACCATTTGCGACAGAAGCATTATTGCCGAAGAGGAGATGTGGCTAGGGCCGAGTTTGCTCCTCGGAAATAGGTTTAATGGCGTAATTTACCTCTGGATACTCCGAGAGAAAAACTAGATTCATGGCCTTACCTTACCTGCTACAGGCATTTGGCGAGCATCCAACCTGATATCGAACCTGAAACTCACCGGAGGTCAGCGTCCCGACCTGCTACTTGGAGTGGGAGTCGAGACATTTTGGAAACTCGTGTGCACATATACTAGACAGCCGTCTTTTGAGCCGTGGGCAGTAATAAAAGGGCATAGTCAGTTAGATAGGAAAGCAGACATCTTCCACTAGCAATATAAACCAATATCTTCGGTCGAACCGCGTCAGAACTTGTGAAGAACCATGGCGGTCTCCCACTCAAGAACCCAAGAAAGACCGCGCGGTAAGCTCCTGTGGCGACTGGCGAGGGCTAGCTCTAACCTCTAGTTCAGTTAGCATCCCCCACATCTCGTATAATGCGTGGATGCCGCGGATTCCGAGCGCAAGTCTAGACGGGGAGCTTGGCTACCAGTCAAACTGCTGAGAGTGGAGCTGTAAGGCGCGCAGTCACAGCGCTACCAAGGCCAAAACGCAGACTTTTTCATGACCGGGCTGGGGGCCGAATTCTAGTGGAGGCGAAACGGTTGTTGGCATCATGGCCAGAGATCAACTCGATCTCTAAGCGAGGCTGAGGGCAGGCTTGGAAGGTCATTACACTGCACTGCACTGCGGATCTGATAAAGGAGGTCGAATCTGTAGCCACCACCCTGCCCTCTTCCTAAACGAGGGTTTAACCCTGATAAGTCGAGGAATGTCCGGTCGAGGCGAGTCAACTCAACTCGTGTGGGTAGCAATTAGATCAGATGTCAAACCCTCATGGTCATGGCCTTGTTCGGCGACGTGGGCCCAAACGGAGACGGAGGGCATGACTCGGGGCAGCAAAGTTATCAATCAATGACACTAGAAGTTATCTCGGAGCGAAACGTGTGCGCATGCTAGGCAACCATGGTCGACGGTCGGAGATTGCCATCCACCCTTCCAGTGTGTCTTTACCGCTACCAGTAACCACCACCGACCAGACCAGACGAGTGGAGCCCCCATGCGATCGATTAGATAAGATCCGTGGGACTGGAAATACGCCGGCCAAGGCGAGATCCGAGTGCGTCCACCACAAAGCCTTTTTCTTTTGTTCATCTCTGTTCGAATCAAGCCTTTTGGCCCCTTGGCCCCGGCTGATTATCTCCAAGAGGAACACTCGGCCGGATTGATTCCTTTTGCCACGCAAACCCACAGACATCCCCGATCTCGGGTCACAAGCAGGAAAAGGTTTTAACCAAATGCCTTTTCGGATTGGACGAGGTCGACGCCGGATTTTTAACAGAAATTAAGACACACTAACTGATCACGGCCTAGGCGGGGAGCTTTGGAGACGTAGTGAGCGGGACCGGACTCGGTCTTTTGCTCTAGTACAAGAAATTCTCTCGTTATGTGGGACCGCAAGGGATGGAGCAGGCCATGATCCCAGAGGCCCGTGTTTAAATATGATCCTTTTCCTCTTTCTTGGCCCGTGGTGGTTTACGGTTTTGGTTCTGCAGGCACATTGTCAACTATACGGAGTATGGCATCCTCTCCCATCATGTCCGCCACCAAGCCTCAACCCTCGGCTGAGGTCACCCAGGAGCCCGTCTCTCTGGATCCAGAGCAAAGGCGAGAGTCAGAGTTGTCCGAGGAGGAAAATCAGCAGGATGGTGTTCGAGTCGCCGAGGCCGTTACTAAGACCTGGTCCCGGACGTACCTGGTTATTGCATATGTTAGGTAGGCAAAGTCGAAGGAAATTTCCTCGGGCCATGAATTGATGAGAAGACAGTATGTGGCTGGTATATTTCATCAACTATCTCAACAGCAGCTTGACTGCCAACCTGGGTGCCTACATCACCAGTGGCTTCTCGGAGCACTCGCTGCTCTCCGTCATCTCGGTCATCACCAGCGTCATGGGCGCTGCGTGCTTGATGCCCATCGCCAAGGTTCTGAACTTGTGGGATCGTATCACTGGATTTATCATCATGCTTGCCATTGCCATCATGGGCTTGATCATGATGGCTGGCTGCAATAACATTGAGACCTACTGTGCCGCCCAGGTATGTCTTCCCCACAAACCAACCTTTCCCCCTTCTAGTTCACTGCATCGCTAACCCATATCCAAACAAAGGCTTTCTACACTGTCGGTTTCACAGGAGCCATTTTCTGTATCGACGTGATGACCTCGGACACTTCCTCGCTGCGCGATCGAGGTATCGCGTTTGCCGTCACCTCCTCGCCCGGCATCATCACTGCCTTCTCCGGCTCGCCTCTATCGAACCAATTCCACGAGACGAACTGGCGCTGGGCCTACGGAACCATCTGCATCGTTCTCCCCGTGGTCGCGGCGCCCTTGATCACGGTGTGGCAATTGACCAAACGCAAGGCCGACAAGGAGGGTCGCCTGCAATACAAGCCTCGCAGCACCCGAACCTGGTATGAGAGCGTTTGGTTCTACGTGGTCGAATTCGATGGTGAGTTCTCCCTCCCTTTCAAACAATCCATACCTACCCATCCACCAGCCATACTAATCCAACACCCACAACGCTAGTCATCGGCATCTTCCTCATGATCGGCGGCACGATCCTCTTCCTCACCTCGTTCAACATCGCCGGCAACACGGAAAACCAATGGCGCTCGCCCAAGATCATCGCCATGATGGTCGTCGGCTTCTGCGTGCTCGTCTCCTTCGGTTTCTACGAGCGCTTCCTCGCCCCGAAGCCCTTCATCCCGTACCACCTGCTCACCGACCGCACCGTGATCGGCGCCTGCCTGATCGACGTCGTCTACCAGATCTCCTACGCCTGCTGGGGCAGCTACTTCACCTCGTACCTGCAAGTCGTCTACAACACCGGGCTGACCAAGGCGGGTTACATCGCTGCTATCTTCGACTTCATGGATCCGATCTGGCTGATCCTCTGCGGTTTCTGTATCCGCTGGACCGGTCGCTTCAAGTGGCTTCTCTGGATTGCTGTTCCCTTGTATATCCTTGCTAGTGGGCTGATGATCTATTTCCGTGCTCCGGGCCATAACGTCGGATATATGTGCATGTGTCAGATCTTCCTGGCTGTGGGTGGTGGTACGCTCATTCTTATTGAGCAGGTGTCTGTCCTGGCGGCGTCGTCGCATGAGGACTACGCTGCTATGCTGGCCCTGCTGAGTACCTTTGGTAACATCGGTGGCGCGGTCGGCAGTAGTATCTCCGGTGCTATCTGGACGAATACCCTCCCCGTTAAGCTGAGGGAGTATCTTCCGGATAACTTGAAGGATCAGTGGGAGATGATCTACGAGGACTTGGAGGAGCAATTGAAGTATGAGGTTGGTTCGCCGGCGCGTATCGCGATCCAGAATGCGTATGCGTTTGCCCAGCGCAATATGATGATTGCAGGAACCGCGATCATGGGACTGGCTATCATTGCGGTGGCCATTATGAGGAACATTAAGGTGCAGAATAATAAGGATCTGAATAAGGTTCTGTTTTAGGTGAGACCTTGTTCGGGGAGGAAGGGGGGAAGAGTTCAGCGGTTAGATTAATCTCTATTTTTTTATATCTATTAATTGTATTATTTTATTTAGGTACCTACGTGACTGGGCGGGGTACTAATTACTGCTTGTTAATAATATTGAAAAAGCCTTGAATGTGATAATAAGATCATCCTTCTATCTCTCCTTCCCGTCTCTCACTCTCTCTATCAATCAAACACTCTATTTGCCTGTCGCAGCTCGACGATCTCAATTCAATATCTATGCAAGGCTTCCACCTCTCATAGGTACTACTGCAACAACCAACATAGTTTACACCCTGATCCGAGTAACTCGCCAGAGAGGTTAGTTTAGACCCTTAAAACTGTGTTACATAATGTCTTCCACCCACTGCCGTATCCGACCCTCCTGTAAAGAAGAAATCTGCTGACCGTTGCTGTCGCCGTTGCCCTCTCGAAATCCCATCCCTGTATCATTGGGAGAGTCTCTTGTCCCCTGGTCCGGTCTATATCCATCGCTGACGTCGCATCCCGCGATCCAGACATCATCGTATATTGCTTCTGAAGCCGGTTTCCCTTCATGATTCGCCAGAACCCATTGGAATATTTCCAACGATGCTTCGCGCGACGCGGCTAGCTAGCTAATCGACCAACTAGTACGTACTCCGTCTGGACGCGTTTCAAATACAGTGGCTAAAATCCGCATTCTCCACTTACCTGCAGCTAGAAGAGAGAACTACCTACGGAGTACGGAGTACGAACAGAACAAATAGTGACTAGTCCAGTGACGAAAGAAATACCCAAACAAGTAGGCAATGGCAATAGAACGGATCCCACTGACTCTCGGTCTCTTGAAGGAATTTTTATTATAATACGGAGTGCTCAACCCGACTACATGCAAATGCTGGATCCGCTGTATGCCAAACGAGATATGGAATGGAAGAGAACACAAGGCAGCAATGCGCAGTACAATGCGATACAATGCAAGGATCGCTGCGAAATGGACCCAATAAAACAAGTCAGGTATACCTAAAGACAAAGAGACGAACAAAAAGTCCAGAGCACACGTCCGATGACCAATAAACATATTAAATTACCCTCAAATAAAAACCTTGTCGGATAAATTGTCAAAGGGAATCTTCATTCCGAGGAAGGGAAAAAAATCAACGCTTCAGGAGAAAGAGAAAAAAAAGAGAAAAAAAAGTGAACAAGGTTGCTTTGGGTCAAAAAGCAATAATGGACAGGATCAATTTACAATCAAAGATATAGTGACAAGGGAGAAAGGAAGAAAAAGAAATACGAAAATTTGGACAAAGGAAATAAAGGTTTATTCTTGACAAAGGAAATAAAATAAAATCAATAGAAAATAAGAAGAAAGAAAAAAAAAAAAAAGAAGAAACACCCATGCTAGATACGGATATGCACGCGGGAAGAAACAGTTGCTGGTACAAATAAGAGGACAAACCGATAAGCTGCGAGCAACAGAAAGGGGCGAGCGAGTACGAAAGCTGCGTGGGTATCACGGGGTATCCAAATAACCTCTTTTGCTCTTTCAATGTTGGAATCTCTGAGTCCCAATAGACTCAGAATCCTCCTTCCAGTGAAAGCGCCAATCGAAACGTGTCTTCGATCCATCCAATTTGCTTCGGGGAGGGAAGCCGAGCCTTGTTGTGCGGACGGTTCCATGGAGCCTGAATTTCTGCTCGTTCAGGTTTCACCAAAATCCTTGAAGATATATCCATCTGTTCAAACGTCCGAAGCACAAAGGAACAGAAGTCCGTCAGACCAGATCTGCTTGTCTATATTGCTTCTTCCTGAAGGCGGTCGATTGGGAGTAAGGGAATCCACCAAACAGAGACAACGTTCGACTGGTTGAATCGGTCGGTAGAATGTGTAGAAAGTAATGAAGTATAGGGGGTGAATGGAAGTCAACGGAAAATTAAGGTGGGGGCGCGTCCAAATGACACCCAAAAAATGAGTCTGACCCGGTCTACCGGTCATCTCCAGCTCTCGACTTGGCTCGTCGACGGAAGAAATCCATGACCTTGCGAGCCGCACCAGAGCTGCCCGGGTGATGTGACAGATCGCGTTCGGATTCGTAGGCGTCTGCGAATTTTCGGTGGTTCTTTTGGAGCACTCCTGGCCCGCGTGCGGACCGACCAGCCTGCACTGACTGGCGGGACGAATTATCATGCGGGCTGTTGTACTCATCGTAGTAGTTGGGGGCCGAGTGGTTGGCATACTGGTTCCGGTAGTAATGGTCATTTTCGCTCGGATAGACCTGCTCGGCTGAGGCGCTGTAAGACGTCGCCTGGTGCGATCCGGACTGGGGGCCATGAAGCACGGCAAACTGCTGATCAATGCGAGCTTGATAGTTGACCGGTTCTTGGTTTGCAATGCCGTCATCTGCTAGACCCCCTTCAGGCATTATCGAGATCGCGTCCTGGGTGCCATAGCTGGTAGCTCGTGTGCGGGGTGGTCGTATCGCTCCGGACGACGAATTTTGCTGTTGCATCCGCTCGGCTTGCAACTCGTCATCTGGCGTTTGGGATCGACTCGACGAAGAGAACCCCTTCAGGGAGAATGACGCGGGCAAGAGGGAAAACCGGCGAGGTCTGCTTTCTCCGCCCGCCTCACTCGTCTTCCGGTTGGATCCGTACTGAATCGAACGCCGCGAGTCCACGGACATCCGGCTCTCATCACCCGCATATGGATCACGCATGCTGGTGGGAGGATAGCGCTTGCCATTCTTTTGCCGAGAGCTGTTGGTTTGGCTTCCTCGGCCTCCAAAGATCGACCCGGACCGTCCAAATAGTTTTTCGCCAATGCCCGAGACCGTGTTCGATCGCTTGTGACCCTTGGGGGGCTCTTGCCGGGGCGTCGTGTTGAATTTGGCCGGTAGCTGCTGGGCGCTCGGGCGTCCAATGGATGTCGGGCTGGGTTGCGACGGGTCCTGAGGAATGGGGGCAGAAATAACGTATTGCTTGCTCTTGGGCTGCGCCAATCGGCCCTGGGCATTCGTTGCCGCAACCGTCGGCGCCACGGGTTGTCCGTAGGAGCCTCGCGACGGCAAACGGCCGGTATTGAAGGACGCCATGGAGGCTCCGGTGGCGGGTCGGGCGGCATGAGGAGGCATGGTCCCTGCGCCGGTAAGCGCTGTCGAATCTGACGTCGAGCGAGGGAAGTGTCCCGGGGCCGGAGTCGTCTCAACGGATGGCTTGGCCTTCGGCGCCTCAGGCGCCTGCTGCACACTATTAGATCGGGCTCGAGTCGGCGCCGTTTCCAACGCTCGCGATGAGCTTGCGACAGGCACCTCGGCGTCACCGGGAGTCTCCCCTCTAGTTGTCTGAGACTGAGGAGCGACGTATTCAACCTGAACTGTTCGCCGTTTCGTGTCCCGGGGGGTCTTGGACCGATCCGTTGACTGTTCTTGGGAGATGTCCCCAGAGTGGTGAACAAGTCCACCCAACGAAGGAATCGAGTTTTGGTACGTCTTGGGCGGTTCTCTGACAGACGCACTACGTGCCAGCGTGGGGGCCTCTTTGCGATTGTCGTTGGAAACCGTCGTGCCAGCGATATCGGCCACTTTCGTCGTGCTGCTGGTGATGTGCGAGACGATGTGCGAGTATTCGCTCAGCCAACTGTGTCGTGCAACCTCGAAAAGATCCGCTCGTTTCCGTGGGTCGGGCACCAAGATCCGCCTCAAGAGATCACGCGCATGCGGCGTGACATATTCGGGGAAAGTCAGAGGAGTGGTGACAATGTATTTATAGAGTAGGTTGATGTTGTCGCCGTCAGGATTCGCGGGGTCGTCATCGAAAGGTAGATAGCCGGCCAGCATCGCATACTGGAGGAAAAAGTCGCGTTAGTTTCGTGCTTCTCTGCTTTGGTTTTACAATGCCCGGGGATACTCACGAGAATGACACCGCAACTCCAGACATCGACTTTACGTCCCGTGTACAGCGAATCACTCACCACCAGCTCCGGAGCGGCATAGCACGGACTGCCACAGCTGGTTTGCATCAGGTCACCCCGTCGCAGGCCCTTGTTGTTGGTCTTATCGAGGCGCATTCTTTTCACGTAATCCTTGTTCGTCAGGTTGTACTCGATCTCCTCGCCCAATTCATCAACCGGGTCAAACGTGTTCGCGAAACCGAAATCGGTGATGATGATGTTGCGGTTCCGATCCAAAAGCAGATTCTCTAGCTTCAGATCACGATGCACGATACCCTTCTTGTGAAGATACCCGACACCGGACACCAACTGCGCAAAGAGACGCCGAGCGGCATTGTCTTTGAGGTACCGATTGTTCAGAATATGATCGAAGAGCTCGCCGCCGGATGCGTACTCCATGATGATACCGATGTGTCGGTCTGTCTCCACCATTTCATGGAGCCGAACGATGTTCGGGTGCGCAAGGTCCCGCAGAATGGAGATCTCCCGATAGATCTTGGGCAATCGACTGGGATTCGAGCCGAGCGTCTCCCTTCGGATGAGCTTGATGGCCACCTGAATGGTACCGTCGCGCTTCCACCCCAGTTTGACTTTGCCGAACTCGCCCTCTCCGAGCGTCTGTCCCAAGATATACTGACCGAAAGTCGTTTCCTTGCGCTTGATCGTATTTTCGGTGTAGTCGTGTCGACTGCGCAGCCCGCCGCGACCTCCGTCGTCCACACCATCACTCCCCACCAGAGCTAGACCTCCCGAAGGCGGAGCGGCCTCGGGGGGCGGCGATACCGACGAGCCAGTCTGTCGGACTTGTTCTCGCTCAATGTCCACCGAAGGGTCGCTCACCAGCACCTGGTTGATCACGGTACTGGACTCCTTGACCAAAGTCCCCTGACCCGGGTATGCCTCCATACGGTCTTCTGCGTGCTGCGACGGCTCGAGCGTCGCGGCGGGTGGATTCCGGTTATCAGCTCCCCTCGAGGGATCCTCGGGCGCTCTCGTGGCTTGCCGACGGGAACGGGAGTCGTCCCCTCTCCTCTCGCGATGATTTGCGCTTCGGTCGTCACCTCTGCTCTTTCCATGTCGTGAGCTCGACACTCTCTCGTTGGAACTCTGGTGGCTTCGATGGGTCGACGAGGTTCTCGGTGGAGGGACGGGCGGTTCGCCGAGCAGATCCGGGTACATGGGTGATCGATTGCTGCTTTGGGCGGACGAAGGCGCCACGGGTGTCATGGCCGGAGAAGCATGGGTAGCGCGAGGCAACGACTGCGATTGGAGGTCGCTCATAGCCGAAGAAGCTGTCGGGACCGGGACGGAAGATGGCTGCTGAAGTCTTAGTGGAGTGCTCATAGTAGTAGCGCCGTGCGAATCGGTGGACGGTCGCGTTCGCTGCGTGGAGCGAGACGAGCGCTCGGGGAAGTGCTGCGCATGACCGAGGTGCGAAGGCGACGCGGGGCCTTGATGGGATGGCAGAGTAAAAGTGGCGGATTGGGCGGGGGTGTACTGAGGGACCGCTTGCATAGCAGCAGACATACCTTCGTATAGTGAAGGCGCAGCAGAACCTTGAACTGCTACGTGACGGTCCGAGACAGCCTCTTCAGGCACGCGTGGGTGGGATTCTTTTTTTCTTTAAGACTCGTTGAGATCAATTGCGATCGGCGACCAGAGAAATCCGACACAAAAAAAAAGAGCCTTCTGGAGGGAGATTGAACTCTCTATCCTTTTTTTAATTCAAATTCTCGCTTAATAATTCCTGATCATTCGCTTTAGTCGGAATGCGATCGGTGAGCTGGCAATAATCTTACCGGTCGGGCAGCTGCGGTTCCAAAGTTAATAAATAGGTCGGAGTCATTGAGATCACCGATCAGGGGGGGGGGATGAGAGGGTGACCACTGACCACGGCGAATGCAATCCGAAAGAAGCTCCCCACGGCGATTGCAGCGATGGGTAATATATCAAGGACACCAGGTCAAGAAGGTAACCAGCCGGTTAACAAAGAGAAGAAGAAAAAAAAAAAAAAAAGAGGAATTGAAAGGACGCGTGGAAAAAGCAACCGATGACCTGGCGTGGGTGTATTTTTCGGTGTTGGAGCGAACTCTCTCAGGCAAGCGAGCCAAATCGGAGGGAGAGAAGCTGCGCTGCAGAATTGACTCCCGTGATATGACACCTCTGTCTCCAGCGATGACCGCCACCCAGTTGAGTAATGCGTTGAGGGGATTGCGGCTCGAAAGAATGTGAGACTGAGGAGGTTCGGAGGAGAGCGAGACCGACAAACGCGGGCGGGAAGGAGAACCAACTGCCTCGGAGACGCGCTTGGAACCACGAGCCAACGTTTTCTCTTTCCGTTTCTTTTCTTTCCTCTTTTTCTTCTGCTGAGGCAAAGAAGAAAGCGAAAATCCAAAGAAAGAAAAAGGATGGGTCACCCCGACACACCACCGACTCAACACTGCAGGATCAATTGACTGGAGTAGGCCGCAATGAGGAGCATGATCGATGGAGGAGAGAGAGGGAGGAGAACCGAAGGTGAAGAGCGAGACGCAAGAGGGGTGGAGGTCGACTCTTGGGATCGGAGGGCGGACAGGGGGCCGGCGCGAGGGGAGAAAGAGAGCCGGTGGGAACTGGGAACTCAAGCCCCCAAAGAAGGAACGGGGATGATGCGAATAATTGGCACCCAAGGGGCCGGACGGCAAGATAAATCTAGAAATCAACGGGGATCGAAGGTCAAGGGACGAAGAAGAAGAAGAAAGATAACTCGACGTCGCGGAAGAAAAGAAAGAAGAAGTCAAGATAGAGAGAGCGAGTGAGGTGGTCACGGAATCCACGGTCCTGGCTGTACCCAGGACCTACTTTGGACGGAGTACACGGACGGTCTACTAAAACTAAACTACACTAACCTCTCCCAGGTGTGCGCTGGCGAGAGAGAGGGAGCAAGAGAGGAAGAGAGAAAGCCATGGATGGCAAGCTAATCCTCTACGAGTTATTAGTGAGAATTGGAATCCGTTAATGAGATAATCTAATATAATCTAATATAATACTACGGGCTATAACCAGGATCCAAGAATAGTAAAATGGGAAATCGGCCCCAAGCAGCGGCAGCTCTTCATCCTGAGGATCAATAATAATCAAATATCTCCGGGTACCTGGCCGATACTGTTAGGCAGAGGTATGACAGCTGGAATAAGGTGCATCGGATCAACCACCATAAAACGCGTTGCTTGCTTCTTTTCTAGGAGATTAAATTTCCAGGACTCGAACGTGTTCCTGGTCACCCTTACCTACGGCGATACGCCGCAGGGGGGCTGGAGGGCGTCTCGCAATCCTTGGTGACAGACCCTGGATCCGAGCCATCTGACAGCATGCATCAGGCGAAGAACAGAGTGCTACGATCCGTACGGAGTACAGTGGTTCCAATCATTCCTGCCTGAGGGAGAGCATGAAAAGCTCCGTGAATGAGACTGATCAATAATAGTCAGCACTCAACACTTCTGGAGAGAGAGTCAATTGCATTGTACTTCGTACGGAGTACACTCACTGACTCTGAGTACAGAGAAGTGCCAAGTCATCAGGGGCACCGGAACCATTGTTTCATCGCCCGAGACGGGCAGCTCGCTGGAGCCTCTCGCAGTCGATCGTCATTAAGCAACTTGGAGAAAGGATTTGCCAGTGCAACACTTTCCCTCTGGTCTGATTGGCCTGGGTCTCGGAATACACCCTGGCAAGGCTTTTTTTCTTTTTTTAATTTGATTTTTCTCGCTGTTTGGAGTTGGTGTTTTCTTTTTTCGGGCTCATTTAACATGAACCGAGTCGCTAGCTTCTCATGCTAAACCATCCATTCCCCCTCAAATTAACTTATTCAGGATTCAGCTTCCCATTGTCCTGGTAACGATCCCCTTCGTCATCATCTCTCAATCCTCTGTCCGAGTCCGAAGCTGAACCATCCCGTCGCGCCCATCTAGCTGCCCAATTCGAGGAAAGGAGGAAAAATGGAATTCCAAGTTATTGGGAGTGACCGCCCCTTCGTAGTTCTCCAGCTCCACCCGAGTCTCCACGGTAGGGATGCCAACCAGGGTTCGGTCGTCTCCTGGGCGGGCTAAACTCGACGGAGCCCTTTTCGTTTTTCTTGTTGTTTGACTTTCCCAGTTTAGTGCCCAAAACGACCGAGAGTTGCTGATGCACGGACTGGCGGCTTGACTCCCTTGAGATAATGGTCTGATCTAGCCCTCCAATCCCGCGTCCATTACATCATCGCTCATTTCTGGTCCTGGATAAATGAGAACTGCCGTCTTAACTCTTACTCCGTAAGTGCTCGGCGCCGAACGGAGGGGCGGAAACTGGAAAATGGAATGGGGACGGGTCGACGGGATAGCTTAGCTATCGAGTAATCGACGCTAGATCAATCCGCTCTGGAGTCCACTCCCGCGAACTTTATATGGATTCTGATTCTGGATGGCTAACGGTTTGGAGCTTCATGGCGGAGTACACCTTCCAAGTGTCCGTCGATTGCATGATCTCCACTTCCTATAGACAGGCTTTGGCAGCTATAGTTCCCTAATCATGGTGTGTTGATGGATGAAGGCGGAGTATGCACTATGCTGGTCTATATATCGCGATGTATAAAGTATAAACGCATGCGCTCGGTTTCGGACGGCCTCGACTTCTATATATACACCCGTGCTTAAGCGCGACATATTCTGTAATCCGTTTGAAATGGATAATATTTTAGAATATCAGTTTACTAAAAGTGTTTACCTAGCTAGACAAAAGTGTTTCCAGATTGTCAACACTCACGTTATATTCAACTTCTCGTAGACAATTGACAACAACACAGATACCAAAAGCACAGCCAACGCACCACCAAAAAAAAAAAAAAGAAAGAAAAGAAAAGAAAAGAAAAAAAACAACAAACCCCGAAGCAGCCGATGCGAAATTGCCAGTGAAATCAGTACCTCCTGTGTCCACTTCTACTGCAGCCGACAAACCCGAATGAGGAGGGAGTCGCACGGCAGAAACATGCAAGGGCGCAGGTGTTACAGCATTCAAAGAGTTTCACTCGATCCATCCTCCCTAGTATAGGGTCATCACCCAGCCAGCCTTATTGAATATAACTCACAGCCTCTCCTCCATTCGAATCAAACTCTTGGTTGGATATGGAATAATTTCCCCTCGATCCAGAATAATGCTTACCCAAGATCTCGGTGGGTCGGGGATCCTGCATCGCAAACTTAAATTCCCAGGAAATGTACGGAGCAGAGCTTCAGAGGAGAGATCCGGGCTGGGAATCAAATTTCCGATAGCGCCATAAGCTCTCCCTAGTCGCGATGGCTGCGTCTGATCCTGTACGGAGGAGGAGTCGAGGTGCTACATCCACTCAGGTGTACTCCGTATGGATAGGATGGTTCTGGCCATTTGCATAACATCCAAGCCGAAGAGTGGAGACTGCAGGAAGAATTTCTAAAATACTGACAGATTCTTGAACTTTGGATTCCACCGCAGCCCACTTGGATTGCGCCCACCCGAAAAACGTTCTTTGATGATATCACCACTGATACCGCCATTTAGGTGACATTCCAGAACTCTTGACGGAGTCAGTCTCATATAACTAGTAGGTATTCGAAGAGTAGTATCAGCACAGATACTCCCCCTACCACCGATCATCGAGCCATCGTCCACAATATTGGCGTCCTGATAAATCCCCTTTCTCCCTAATCCCTTGCTAGTACATTATATATTCCGTAGCTTCAATAAACGAGCCCCTTCGCAACTCCCTCTCAAAGCAACTTAACAACCCATCCCCCATTCTATCCACGACTGGAAACCCCGACTCCGTGCAACCCAACAGCTCCAACCCAGTAGAAAAGGCCAATAGTTCAGCACCGTCTCACAAATCACAACCCAATTTCCGCTACGTAACACCGCATCGTTTTTTCACCCTCGACGAACCGAACCCAGCCCGACCGCCATAGTAACCTGGCCAGTCATACCTACCCTACCTTCTAGCTACTTACTAGCAACTATCGGTGGCGAGAACTGGAGCCCAATACTTTTTGGGGCATTTGTTTTGTTTTGGTATGGCCCTCCAATCGCTCCCAATGATGTCTCGGGTGGTTTCCGTCAAGTACGTTATCTACTCCGTACCTGCCTAGCTATTGTGCTGTGTGTACACACCGCTAGATTTTTCTTGAAAAAATTTTCCCCGTCCTTTTCTTCTATACCAATGACATAATTCGCAATTGGCGGTGAAGTACTTTCTTTTCACCCTCGAACAGTGAGTGAGTGCTGACGCTGGCTTGGGGCTTTTGCATTGCGATTCTTTCATGCACGCAACGAAAGCGGGAATGTTGTCAATGTGATGCATCAAAGCAGGAGGCCAATCCAAGGGAATAGATATATGTATGTACATTTATGTACAACTAAGAGCCCAAAGAAGGGGTAAAGCCGTTGAGTTTCCTCCCTGCGCCGTTGCCGGGCCAAAATTCTCCGATCTAGACTTCTGTTGCCTGGCGTGTCTAGACCCTCCCTTGAACTTTTTTCATTCGCATGTACGGAGCACTGTATGTGCCTCTGGGCGCTGCGTTGCATTAGCCACTAGGTATCTATCTAACCGATTAACTTCCCGGCAAACAAGTAAGTAAGGTCGGATGTATGTATGGAGTCTGAGGCTAGCCCTTCATCAAAGTGTAGATGTATACAGGCCCACAAGGCTGGAACCACTCCGTACCATGTAAGGTTTTTCGGGGCGTTATCGTTGGCTATATTTATCACCGAGATAGTTAGATAGACGGAAGTTAATCTGCTCTTTAGATATATTTAATCTCTCGGATGCCTTGCATTATGCAAACTTAGATGAGTGGTGGTAGCGCTGGGTCTGTTTGAAGGAAATGAAAGGCTAAGTACCATTATTCGCCGAGATTCATCGTCCTTTTGACAAGTCTGTCAAAATTCACCCCGAATGGCTTGGGCAGAGTGAAAGAGAATTCACAGTCAGAAGGTGAATCAGCAGTGGAAGAGTATTCAATGAATGGCCATGTTGGGAATTCTTGAAGTGAAGAAGCTAGATATGTAGTTGTTTCACTAAAACGACTGGGTATAAGAATCAAGTAATTCTCCTCCCAATGACTAGCCTTTCTTTCCTCACAGATGAACCTCCAAGTCTTCAACATGAATAGGTACCCCTTTTCCGATCTCATGGATCAAGAAAGAATCAAGCTGCGGTCAATAGACGTCTTAGGCATCTCAAGTCTTCTGGTGAATATCGGAATGCATCACTTGACGAAAAACAGGATCTTGAGGCCTCTGCCCCTCACCAAGTGCTTCTGAAAAGGTCTTTCTACAGAACTTCTAAATGACGATCAGCCGAAACTCAACTGAGCTTACTCTGTAGGTAACAAGCTGGGGTGACAGGGTGTTTCAATGCGAACGTTTTCCATCACGTTGGGATGGTCATTCAGCCTTCTGCTCCTGGAGTTAGCCTCGGAGATGTGCATTGTGCTCAGCCAATATGACAAGCCGGGTTTCAGTATATGACACGGGGCAATAGAAGTGGGAAAGTTTACCAAACTCAAGTCGCTATGGGCTATAAGCAGCTGTGACACTGAATCGATCCGGTATAGACGGGTCATGCTCGCTGGATATCAGCGATCATCGATTGGAATCTACGTGCTTGACGGCGAACCCAATCTAAAGCTCATCCTCGTTCTCGTCACCCCCAGCATCGGGGAGTACTTGGAACCTTAGTCCGAGCATGTTATACACCGAAGTTCCTATCGAAGGAGGAAAACCGGGGATAGTATCCATAAGATTCAATTCCCGTGGACAGGCATTTAGAAAGATGGTCGGCGTGGCGCATTCCGGATGAGTACAATGGTCATAAAGATCTTCCGGCTCTCAAAAAACCATACAGCGTCGTCGGGGAAGAACAAAACAGTGTGGAACTTTCTTGTATCGCCGTCCGGATTTCTTAACCCAACTTTCCGACACCGAGTACATCGAGGTTTACAACAGGCTTCGTTACAACCCCACGTCTGGACCATATGCTTGAACGTCCCGGCCAGAAGACACAGAAGGCCATGAGGCCGTGGGTTGTCTCCGACGACCAGACTGTGGAATGGCCAGGGTTCTTCAAGGGAGTGAGTGTTCCTCAACATCCTCAAATCGAAAACGGGAGATTTTTCGACAGTGCCTTCCAACCTGCCGAAGTTGAGCTTCACGATCAAATCCAACAGCCTCTCGGAAATGTCTCCTTCCCCCGCGATCATGCGGCGTATTTGGATTCGGACGACGATGTTCTAGATAACCCCCAAGGAACAGTTGATCGCTCAAGGCTCTCGTCCAGCTCTCAGAAAAGATTCTATTAGTCCGGATAGAGTGCTGGTGTTTCAAGAGCAGCAAGGATTGACCAAGGATCGGTTACAACAACAAGTTTTGGGAGAGCTCGGTCTGGTGCATGAAGAACCGCACCCTTCTCCGAGACACCGTCCCAGACAGGAACCGCATACTGGACATTTATAACCACTACATCCCGGTATTCGGTAGCTTGAATAATAACTCAAGGGGTGCCGACAACGTTATCTAGTTTGTCAGCCTGAGATAACTAGTATAGCAGAAACCCTCATTTTACTCCGCCAAATCAGAGCGCCGGGCCACCAGACACTTCCTTCGTTCGTCATATCGTATTCGATACTCCTTTCTCAGCTTTTATCTACATCTACACCTACTCGCCGTGTGCCATAGAATCGACCGCTCCATCCGGAGTACGATTTGGCATCGGTGTTTGATACTCCGTTCACGTTCTATGGTCAGAATGTATCGCACCTGGGCTAAAAGGGCCGCAGCAGCGCGTCTTCCTGTATGAGCGGCAGCTATTCGAAAAGAACTCTTTCTTTTCGCTCGATGCACGTCCAACCCTCCTCCCCTCTGGCACGGTGTTGCCGGAAGCGCAAGCAGGCCACTACTGACCGCCATGTCATGATCCTCTCTCGATACTGCAAACACACCCAGTGTCTTTTACGAACTCGCAACCAGGTCCACATCATGAAGTACGCTCGTATCATTATCATGTCGAAAATTCCTGGGGAATGTGTGCTGGATATTCTGCCATCTCTTGCGCTCGATGACAGAAATCTCATCTTGGCAAAGTTGGTAGAGTTGCTTGAGTATGTTTTCCCTAGTTTGTACTGTATGATGACTTTGGATATCAATATTAACCTTTTGGGATATAAGATACATTCGTCTTCGCGGTTGGATTTTCTTTGAGCAGGAGACCGAGCAAGTCTATTATGATGAGCAGACAAAGAAAGTGTATGTCCAAAGGAACGAGCTATTATCATGTGCTCCCTATGTAGTTTCACGAATCCCAAATGCTAATCGAGACACTAGCTATCTGATCGGTTTCTGTCGCGCTGTGAGAGAGTCCTTTCCTCCAGAGAGAGGCAAAGTCATCACATCCGATTCGATTGACGTCGGTGGCTTTGGTCTAGGTTGATTTGTCGATTTGTCTGCTGTCTTCCGTCTCTTGTCCTCTTGTTTCTTAACTCGACTACCTTGTCTATCTTCTTTCCTGCATCAGTGTACCTAGACGGTAGTAAAAACAACCATCAAGGATTTTTATTAGGTTTACTTCACGAATGAGGACTTATTTGTCTACAAAGGCTAATTTAAATCGGTTAGTAAGGTTAAATCAGATATTCAGCCTTTGCTAGATCTTAGAAACAAGAAGAGCAACAACTAATTTCAAGGGCAGAAAACCAAACGAGAACAATGGTAGCTCACAACTTACTCTCTCATCAATACAGAAAGGGATTCACACCCGCTGTAAAGTCCAATCACTAAAAATCCAGCAGAAATTTTCACATGTAGTAACTTTTTAGAAGGTATGGGTCAGTCGTTAGGGAAGATATTTGAAACAAGTCTTGTATATTTAAAGGTCATATTCCTGTTCGTGTCGAACATGTCTATCCAGTTGAATATTGTGTCATGAAAATGATATATCATCAAAATCGCCAGAAATAGATACCGCAAAAAAAGAAGCAAATCACTCGTCGTATCCAAGTCCTTTCACGTCCGTCCAACTGTAAAGCAATATTCCTTAGCGCTTTCCTCCCGACATGCCAGTCCCGCCGAGAGACGTCGTGCCCGAGGCACCGTAAGCTGGAGGAGGCGTAGGGGTCGGCGAGGGTCGTCGGGGAACGGGATCCCGACTAGAACCGGGCACTCCTGGCGGGACTTCGCCGCCGTCACCCTGGCCCACAATCACCTGCTTGCCATCGCGCATACGCCCGACGACCATGCCCTTCGCCACTGACTTGATCACGGCTTTGCGACTCACCCCGGAGGCATCGATGTAGACCAGTCCCACGTTCTTGACTCCACCGGTCAGATCGGTAGCAACCGAGCCAGCTTCCGCTCCGTAACGGTGTCCGATCATATGACTGGCGGCTGCAGAGCCGGTCGTCAATACCTGTCGCGCACTCTGCTCAATACCATCGGCCAGCGTCGAGAATGCGATCATCGACTTGTTCAGCATGCCGGGCTTATACTCAGAGTTTCCTGCTTTGTCGACGCCCTTGTTCTTCCCGTTGTCCTTGCGACGGGCCAGAGAAGCGCCAAAGTTCTGCGCGACCTTGCCGACCTGGCCCACCGTGCGGGCGGAGATGTCTGCCGCGCTGTGAGACAAGTCGCCGATCTTACGGACCCTGGTGTGTGTGTTCTCGGAGAAGGTCATCGGCTTCGGGTTGGGCTTGGTCTTCTTTGTGAAACTGTCGGCGCCAGTAACCAAGGCGTTGGCGAGGTAGGTAGATGTTGTCACGAGCAGTCGGGAGGCCGTGGCGGAGGTCTGCACGATCGTCGAGTTCTTGTAGGCCGGGTGCCGAGACAGGCGCAGGTATTCTTCGGAGACATTGCTGACGCTGATCTCGTTCTTTTCGCCTTCGCTGGGGAGCTCGACTTCGACTGGTCCTGTTTCCAAGTTAGTGACCGGATTCAGCGAAAAAGAGTCGACTGGCTTACTCTTAGAGCCAGGCTTCACGCCCGGTTTCTCAACGACGTCATACCCCTCCATCTCGCCTACCACGCTACCATCTTCCTCGTCCACCAGCACGATGCGCCCGTGCGCATCTTGCTTCGTGGTAGTGCCAGCCGGGCCAGCAGAAACGTACCCCTCGCCGGGGGCAAAGTTGGCCGGGTTATAGGGAGCAGGGCCCTTGGAAGGAGCCGTGGGAGGAGCCGCGCGCTCCAAGAAAGCGGTACACTGCGCCAGAATGGTTTCGAAGGTGTCGACATCCTCTTGATTCACCTTGTCCGGCCCGGATCCGATACTTGGGAACTGAATGCGGATGAAAGCGCCCGCGTCGGGGCCGAGATCCCATCGCGGAATCAAGTAGCTGTTCGGGGGCTGGTGATAGATCTGGGTCGTTGCGGGGAGCGCAAGGTCCAGCTCTGGCGGGAGATGCAGGTGGAGGTAGAAATCCTCCTCCGGCGAGGCCTCGGGGGAATTCTGAGGAGCGGTACTTGTAGGCACCATTAGCAGAGAGAGGGTCTGGGGCCCTGACGGGGTAAGTTCTTGTTCGTCGCCATCTTGCAGGTGGAAGGCCTTAATGTTGTTGATGCTGTAGAGTAATCGAGGGTCTTGGGCGGGGGAAGTCATATTGAGGCGATTGATTGTTGGAGGAGAGGAAATAAAATAAAGGAATCGAATAATTTAACCAAGACAAAGGATCAATGAGGTCAGCGAAAGGGATGTGTGAAAGGATCAAATAAATTAAATTAATCGATCGGTGATATCAAGGCGGGGCGCGATGACGCTGCGGGGCAAAGCGACTGATCGGATTTCTGGTCTTGTGCAACTGCCGGCAGCTGTCTTCTTGCAATTAGGCAGCGACGAAAAAGGTCTGAGGCAGAAGAAATCTAGGAGAAGAGTCTCTGGCGAAATGCTCGGGGAAAGGGAGCAATAAATAGCGAGGCAGGCGACAAAGTCTTGGGCCTTCTTGGAGACTCATTCGTCACGCGTCATGCCAGACCCTGGCTGACATAATCCTGTCCGTGTTCCTGATTGGGTCTTGGCACTAATGCGCCACAGCCCCATGGGCACATGCACCGCCACAAGAGCCACCCGGCGGGGCCTGAGTGGCTGGTGCATTCCTCCCCGAAATGGCGGCGGCAAACAATAAAGACAATAATGTCGCTTCTTTGCGGCCCAGAATTGACAAACGCTCCCCATCTGGAACCTTCCTCCTTTCTACCATACTCGCGGATAATGCCTATGTAGTCTACCCTGCTAGTAGTTGTTAGTTGTTGCTATTAAAATCCCACTTTCCCCCTCCCAACGGCCCGCCTTTGCAGTTCCTGGCAACATCTCCGGGTTAGCGGCGCTTAGATACCCCCTTCTCCTACAGCCTAGACATTAGTTGCAGACATGGCGTGCTTCCAGATCCTCTCGGATCTTCATCTAGAGGACCACAGCGCGTACGACTTATTTAAGGTACGTCCGCAAGCGCCGCATCTCGCTCTCCTAGGAGACATCGGGCACGTCAAGGACGACGGGCTGTTCCTTTTCTTAGAAACCCAGCTCCGCCAATTCCAGATCGTGTTCTTCCTCCTGGGTAGCAACGAGCCGTACTACTCTGACCGGACAACCGCCAGGAAGCGACTAACCGCCTTCTCAGAATTCGTCGTCCAGCGACGAGCCTACGAGGCCCAGCAGCCCCAGCAGGAACCGCCCCTAAGCCCTTTCGGCCAATTCGTCTTCCTCAACCAAACCCGCTACGACGTCTCCCCCGACGTGACCGTCCTCGGCTGCACATTCTACTCGCGCGTCACGCCCAAACAGAAGAAGTACGTGGGCTTCGGTCTGAACGACTTCTTCCACATCCAGGACTGGACGGTGAAGAAGCACTCGGCAAGGCACGAAGCGGACCGGGCGTGGCTGAACGCCCAAGTCGCCCGGATCGCAGCGCGAGAACCGCATCGCTCGATTGTCATCTTCACGCACCATAGTCCGTCGGTGGTCGCGGACGCTGTGGACCCGTTGCATGCGAATAGTGTCGTCTTGTCGGGGTCCGCGACGGACATGTCGGGGGAGGAGTGTTGGGAGAATCCGCAAGTCAGGCTGTGGGCGTACGGGCATACCCATTATAATTGCGATTTTACGGAGGAGCGGACGGGGAAGCGCGTAGTGGCGAATCAAAGGGGTTACTACCATGCGCTGACCCAGGTGTTCAATCCGTTCTTCGTGGCGCGGGTTGGGACCATTCCGGGGTGATGAATTTATGATTGACTTGAAGTACTCCGTAATGAATAGAATGTACACCACTGTACTTGAGAAATCTCCGTAGATAAACGTATAAAGTAAGGTAGTTAGAGGAGGGGTGGAATTTCCCCGGACTTCCATGCTGGCAGTTGTCAAGCACTGCGCATAGCCGCGTTTAACCGAGGCTCGTCCGCGCCCTTGTGATTTCGCTGACCCCGACTTTCCTCCCTCTCCGCTCTCTCAGTTACTACCTCTTCATCTTTCTTTCTTTCTTCTTTTCTCTCTTTGCTTTACTCTCCCGTGTAAATCGCTTCCGTGATAACCTACAGCTCCTGCTATTAACCTCACCTCCTAATCCTTTATATACCATGGCGTCTATCTCTTGTGCGTTGCGGTCTTTGTCCCGCACTACTCCCGCCCTCCGTTCGACCGCGAGACGGCCGTTTCCCTACCGATTCGCTCAAAGGTGCGTTGCTTAAACTGCCCGGTCAGAATTGACCACGAGCTTCACAATGCCGGTCTATTCTACTGTCTACTCGTCTGTAATCTATAATCTATCAATCCACTAACCTGTCCTACCCTCCAGCGCCGCACCCACATTCTCAACCACGTCCCGCCGGCGGGACCCGGACCTCTCGCATCTAACCCCGACCCCGATCTCGCTCCTCTCCGAGACGGAGACCTTCCTGCACGAATCAGTGTCCAAGTTCGCGGCGGAGCAAATCGGCCCCAAGGTCCGCGACATGGACGAAGCGGAGGCCATGGACCCGACCATCGTCGAGCAGCTCTTCGAGCAAGGGCTCATGGGCATCGAACTGCCGGAGGAGTACGGTGGGGCGGGCATGAACTTCACGGCGGCGATCGTGGCCATCGAGGAGTTGGCACGGGTGGATCCCAGCGTGAGTGTGCTGGTAGATGTGCACAATACGCTTGTGAACACGGCGATCCTGAAGTACGGGGACGCGCAGGCGCATCGGACGTGGTTGCCCAAGTTGACGACGGGGACGGTCGGCTCGTTCTGTCTGTCGGAGCCGGCGTCCGGGTCGGATGCGTTTGCGCTGCAGACCAAGGCCGAGAAGACGGCGGATGGGTATAAGTTGAATGGGTCGAAGATGTGGATCACGAATGCCATGGAGTCGGGCATCTTTATTGTCTTTGCCAACTTGAACCCCAGCCAGGGGTATAAGGGTATCACGGCTTTCATTGTCGAGAAGGATACGCCTGGTTTCTCGATTGCTAAGAAGGAGAAGAAGTTGGGTATTCGGGCGAGTAGCACCTGCGTACTGAACTTCGATGACGTTGTCATCCCTAAGAGCAATCTGCTGGGCGAGGAGGGTCAGGGATACAAGTATGCCATTAGTGTGCTGAACGAGGGCCGTATTGGTATTGCTGCCCAGATGACCGGTCTGGCCCTGGGTGCTTGGGAGAACGCTGCTCGGTAAGATTCACTCTTTCTCCCATCCTTTCAAGAAAACAACCATACTAATCAAGACAGTTACGTCTGGAATGACCGCCGTCAATTCGGCCAACTGATCGGTAACTTCCAAGGCATGCAACACCAGCTGGCCCAGGCCTACACCGAGATTGCCGCCGCGCGCGCTCTGGTCTACAATGCCGCTCGGAAGAAGGAAGCCGGCCAGGATTTCGTCCAGGACGCCGCCATGGCCAAGCTGTACGCCTCCCAGGTTGCGGGTCGCGTGTCCGGGTCCGCCGTCGAGTGGATGGGCGGCATGGGATTCGTGCGTGAAGGCATCGCCGAGAAGATGTTCCGCGACAGCAAGATTGGCGCCATTTACGAGGGAACGAGTAACATCCAACTGCAGACCATCGCTAAGCTCCTGCAGAAAGAGTATACCCAATAAGTGCGATAAATGCTGGCTGAAAATACGCCTAATTTCGTTTTCTTGTTTATTTTCTCGTCTTTTCTTTTCTTTTCTTTCTGTGTGTTTTTATAAATTGATGTTCAACGTAACTAAGTCGGCGGGAAGCGCTGAGTCCACAGACAGACTGGCTGGCTGGCCGACTGGGCTGACTGACTGACTGCTTGCTTGCTTGCTTGGTTCGTTCTGACCACGAAAAGATCCGCTCCACTGTTTTGAATTTCAACTCTGGATTCGGTATCGATGACGTGGACGATGCATAACGATCCTTTTGTATGATAGAAGAACAGTCAATTATAGAATGCTCAACCGGATCTTCCTGCACCGTTCTCGTAGGAAGTTACTTTTCCATTCCCTCCCCGAGCCAAGATGACCGTCTCCTGGCGGTGTGCACGTGTTTTTCATCGTTCGCGGTGAAAGTGATAGAAAACTAGGTACCCCGTAACCCACAGACATGCGCAGGCTATATTTTCCTGCCGAAGTCCATCGGTTCTCACGATGCCGATAGGCGAAAAGAAAAATGCATCCGAGTCCCACAGGTCGGGCTGCATGTTCAACCCGGCAGTTCAGTCGATTGCAAGATACCGCATTCCGAGGGAGACTGATTGGTGGTATTTTTTTAAAGTTCGGAAATGGCCCCATATGCTCCATCTCGCTTGCTCCACTGCCGCTGCAGCATCGTCATGTTCAGTCCGTTCTTCAATCTCCAAGCACCTCGTGTCCTCTTGGCCGCGGATATCAGAGCAACAAAATAACCACCCGGGCCGAGGGATGGATGGAACGAATTGGGTTTCGGCCAAACTTATTTGACCGAGTTAAAGTCTTGATGGATGGTCATTCGGTCTGGTTTTAACGTTCCGGCAGCCATGGAAGGAGGTAAAAAGAATGGGGCGATTCGGGGAGGAAGGCGCAGACGAATCATGTGATTGACAACCTGGGGAGGTGCTTGATCAATCAACTGGGCGAGTCCCATAATTCCAAAGCAAAAGAGAAGACGCATGTTAGTCCCTAGTCCCTGCTGATAGCTGGATGATGCAGGCCACCTGCTAACCCACCTAGGGGTGGGACGATCTGCTAGATTGTTTCGGGACTCAATAATTGGAGCAATCTTCCCGATGAAAATATACCCGTATCAAGGTATAAAATAAGAGACAAGGCCTCCGAGTGAGGCCGTTTCAACTTGCAAGGACGCTCTCAAGACCGAGGCACCCATTCATAATTATACCTAGCTCTGGGCGGTTGCTCCGGATGCTGGTATTGTGGTGTGCTCTGGAGCACAGGATACCCGGTGGCTTCCCTCTCTGCCGAAACATTCGGTACCAAGACCGATCGCTGCCCTCCCGCGTAAGGGATTGCCTGTTGAGGATGGTGCGCCATTTCCTCTGGATGCGCTTGATTCGAGCGTCCGGGAGCATAAAGGTGAGACGGATATGCCTGAAATGCAGGACCTGGTGGCTGTCCACCCCCATGAACATTGTACGCAACGTACGATGCGGGAACCGGCATCGTGTCCGGGTTCCGGGTTTGGCCATCAAAGATGTAAGGTTCCACCCTGTTCGAATAATCTGCATCCGGGGACTCACAGAGGGATGGGGATCGCGTTGAGCCATATTGCTGCTGCCATTCATGCGGTGCCGACACCTGGCTGGACGTCGAAAGGACCGACGGCGCTCTGGAGACTGGAGTTACCCCGAGAGACTCGGAATACTGGGCTGAAGGAAGTATGTACCCAGATGGAGTACTGGACGATCCTTCTGTCACCAAGGAATTGGAAAGTCAGTAAAGATGGACCAATAGAGGGGTGAAACAGGGCAAGAAGGAAGATGCAGAAGGATGAGGAAGAGATTATAGTCACTGACCCATGTTCGAGTATCCTTGACCACTTGTCACCATTGACAGTTGATGTTTTAACGTCCTAATCTCATTTTCCAGAGCAGCATTTCGTCGAACAATATCATCGAATTGCTCTCCTTTGGTCTTCAGCTCCGACACTTGATGCTCTAAGCGTTCGATATGTTCTCTCGTTCGTTGACGGATGGTTCTCTGGGCCTCTCGATCGTTGGCGCGCTTCCTCTCCAGCTGTTCGGCGGAGAGCGAGGTGACCTTACGTGTCCCGGCTCGGGACTCCCGCCTCTTGGACTGGGAAGGCTCTGGATGGGTGTTCATGATGCGTTCCAGGCCGTAACCCACTCGAAGGAAGTTAGTAGGCAGTTAGAACACGTCCTTCGAGAGGTAGAAAAACATGAATGTCGGAACGAGAGCGATGCATTCCAGGTTATACGTGGAGCACGAAAGAACCAGAATCGCTTCTCAATATGTGACTATAGTCGTTCCATGTGCGTGGGTCGCGCTAAAACACTGGGATTTATGCCAGAGGGGAAGGGCAAGAGGCCGCTTGATATAAGCACAGGCGGGTGGATAGATAAGTTGGTAATCTTCATTTAGTGCATGGAGAAGGTCACGAAACGACCCGGTCTGCCCAGAGGACGAGCCGCAGGAGAGGTTTCGTTCATATACGGAGTAGGCCAGATCCCCATCGGAGTCGGGCACACAGGGCCCTAGGAGCGAAAGCAAGAAAGAGAAAGAAATAATAATAATAACAAAATAACAAAAATTCAAAATACAAAAATTCAACCCAAACAAAATTAACCAAGAAAATTACACCCAAAGCTCGGTCTCCAGATCGTCGCCTGTCGATTTCCGAGCAGGCTAAGTCCCAACATTATTATTAGTCTGTTGCAACTTGCAACCAACAGGACCCTCTGGCCCCTGAGATACACCAATAGGCACACTCGCAGCAGCAAGAAAAGCTAGAGGGACTCAAGGGAGTAAGAGAAAAAAAAAATTTCCTGGTGTGGGAAGGGGCTGACAATGGTCATGTCTTTTTTCTTCCCTTTTTCTTTTTTTTTCCCTCTCCAGGCTACTATTACTATGGGTCTGCACTCTGCGCTATGTGCACATTCCGACCCTCCCGACCTACAAGACTGCTCTAAATTCGCAATGGGAGGGGGTGAAAAGTCCTCGGCACCTTAGATCGGGGTTTGATTCACAGTGTCCAGGGGTAGGGGGGGGGGCATTAATGCTGGTAAGCCAACCCAGTCATGTGCCGGGCCCTGCATCGGTGTATCAAAGAGAAACTGGCGCGGCTGTCATCGTCCTGCGAGCCATGGCATACTAAAATTTCTATCGTGGGTTCGGGTTGTAGAGATTGTACGGAAGACTGAGAAGCCTCCGAAAAGTGGCTACTCCGTATGAATTGGTGGACCCTGGTATTATCCAGACCACATGGTGACCCGAATTAAACTCTCAAACTCAAACGATTTTCTCCCCCTTCCTCCAGCCCGCGAGCCTTGGTCGGCATTTAGGATAGATCCGGATCGCGAGCCAAAGGATTGGTGGTTCGGTAGCGTGGGAGAAAAAAAAAGGCACGCACCAAAAACAAAGTGGACAGATCACCCATGCAAGCGATGGAAGTCGCATGAAGGTGTTGGAATCTCGATGCTCATGGGCCCACGAGAACTTGAAAGGGCCTTTCCTAGTGATCATCGAATTCTTATTTGGAATGGATTGATTCCCAGGATCTGCTAGCCTTGGCGATAGTGAGATAAATAAGCGGCTCTCCAGTCTAAGATCCGACGAATGGTATATCAGTATAAAAAGCACCGTCCAGTCACCTATGCCCAACGTGGCTAACTGTATTCAAATGTTCCATGGCTTTTGTTTCGGATCTAGGATAGGAGTCAGCAGTAACTCCGTAGAAGCATACTCCGTACTGTAGGTAATGCTCGCCACGAGGTTAAGTAGATCGACTCCACTCTCGCAGGAGTTGTCCAAGAGCAAGATACGATTCGTGGAACCGAAGCGGAATATAGCGAAGCCCCAGAGGTTGTTCTGAATAATCAAACCACGGAATGGGTCTCTGAGACTAACCAGATTTCCGAGGAGAGAAAAGCGAAAAGGCTGAAATGCCCCCTCTCTCGTATCGGGGAGGAAATAGGCCCCGAATGAGAGATGCGAGGGGGAAATCCCCCCCAAACGAACCCACTTTGGAAAGAAAAGAAAAATTAAAAAAAATCAAACATAGAAAAATCCCATGGTAGATGGACTCCACAATCCACAGTCTGTTTCCTTCCGATGCGATCGTGAGCGGGAAGGACGGCGAGGCTGGCTGGTACTGACGCACACCGTTCCTACCATGGTTAGTGGTTCATCTCTAGAAGACCCAGGAATCCCACCTTTTCTCTGCTTCCGCTTCCATCCGTTCCCCTTTGCCATGCTTCTGCTCCGTACCCCTTGTTCTTTGCTTCCTTCTTTGTTCTATCTGCCTTCTTCCAATTGCCGAGATCCATAGACTTATTGGTCGGGATTTTTTCTCCATCGGCTGATCCAGATCTGGAACCAGATCTTAACGAAACCCAGATTGCTTGGAGCTAGTAGATTAGGCGACGGGCGTAGACGAATGCTTGAAACACTCTGGGGAACTTCCGATCTTGTGTAACAGACTCTAAACGAGCTGTAAACCTTTCTGTAACCTAACCATCACAACCAGCCACGAGAAAAGTTGGTACTAAGGCTGTGCTGTGGACCTGGCCTGCTGCACAACATCGTGCTGAGACTGCATAAACATGGAGAAAAGGTCGTGTGCATTTCTAGAAACTGATGGTGATCGTCTGTCCAGGGTCAATTATTGATAATGGAAAATGACCAATTCGACGTTCGGCTCAAGGCAACCGTGGACTTAGCCCCAACACCATCCTGACAGAACAGTTGCCCACAGATAGATTTGAAGTCCGTATCACATTCACATTCCCGTCGACACGTTAGAATGCGGTGATACCGTCACGCTCACAGCTAATTCGCTGCGGGCACAATCACCAAACTGCAGGCTAAGCCAGTTAAATTGCGCCATAACTTGATGGCCTTGGGGATGGAGGTGGGAGTTGGGGACTTGGACGCCCAGGCAAAAGGGCTAAGGCGGTTTCTTGCGCACCATCACTGCGGCACGGCACAGGATCGATGCCTACCTATCCACCATACCCTTGATTAGCGCCTTCTTTTGGTTCGTGTTCCCATGCCTTCCCAGGCGAGGGGTAGCTTGCTTAAAACCAACGGTGGTTGTCGAAGCTCCAATAGCACCTGCCCTTCGGGGACCGGGGATCAGTAGATGACGTAGGTTGACGTTGATTCCTGATCGGATGCTAATGTTAGACATACAAAAACAGGTCTGAAGTTGAATCCTTTCACTCCGCTAAGTCTTGGCAGCGACTCTGTCGGGATTTGACGTCTTTGATATATCGATGCATACTAGGACTGGAGAGAGCAGGCCGTCTTTTGATGCAAGTAAAATGACTCAACGTGTCATAACGCATCTCCTTGTTTGGGATGATTTGCGGGGGGGGGGGGGAGTCCCTTGCGGACGACAGGCAAAGATGGATCCACAAGGGATGGATAAGATAAAGTGTTAGAGATGAAAGATGAGGCCGAAGAAAGTGGGATGGTGATGTAATCACGTTACCTTACGGGTCACGCTTCTCGCATAGAAACGGCCCGTCGGTCTCGTATGCATCGTATGTATCGTACGGCAGCTCCGTCGGCCAACTTCCACGTCGCTTCACCTTCGTCTGTTTGGCATCCGATCGTCGTGCCTCGACTTTTCCCGGACGATTGGAGAACAAGGATCGTGTCGTTGACAGATCAATTACGATACTCAGACTTAGGTCCCATTGTCAGTTACCATGGACCAGAGCTATAAAGCTCGAAAAGAGGCCTTTGTGTCGAATTTGGCCGGGGGAGGCATTCTGGAGATCAATGCCGTCACTTTGGTAGCTCCTGTGAGTGGCCCCATCCAATTGCTTGGTATCGCTTGTACTGATATCGGATTTCACTCCTCGATTAGGCCTCTGTACTCCTGTGGTCGGTGCTCCAATCGCGTCTGTCCTTCTTCAACCCGTACGGTGGTCCAGCACTAGTCGTCGATTTCTTGCTCAATGTTTTGGCAATTCTATTTGCAACCACCATCTATGCCGCGGCGCCATGGACCCTGAACATTCTTCTCGTATCCCCCGCCCTCCTGCTACTATTCACATCGCCGGCGCCTCGTACCCAACAAAAGGCGAAACCGCCAGCCCAGAAGAGCTCCAAACATGCGACAGAAACGCCCGCGTCTCTTCCCATCCACCCGTTCCTCACGACATACCGTGCTGCGATGATGATCGTCACCTGTGTCGCTATACTGGCCGTCGACTTCCCCATATTTCCCCGCAGGTTCGCTAAGGTCGAAAATTGGGGCACGTCGCTGATGGATTTGGGCGTCGGTTCATTTGTGTTTTCCGGGGGCGTGGTTTCCGCTCGTTCCTTGCTTAAAGGACGAACGAGTACTGCCACAAAGCCTCCTCTGTGCCGGAGATTGACTGCCTCTTTCCGTCACTCAATCCCTCTGCTCGTGCTTGGTTTGGTACGACTGTATAGTGTTAAGGGTCTTGACTACGCCGAACATGTCACGGAGTATGGTGTCCATTGGAATTTCTTTTTCACGCTGGGTCTGTTACCCCCGTTCGTCGAGATCTTTGACGGCCTATCCACCTTTGTCCCCTCGTACGAGCTTCTTGCGCTGGGGGTTGCAGCCCTGTATCAAGTGGCCCTCGAGTCTACCGATTTGAAGGGCTACATACTTGTTTCCCCGCGTGGTCCAGATCTTTTGTCGAAGAACCGAGAGGGTATCTTTTCTTTCTTAGGGTATCTGGCCATTTTCCTGGCCGGTCGTGCTGTTGGCGTTCGCATCATACCCCGTGGGACGTCCGCTTCCAAGTCGCCGAAGCAAGCCCGCAAGGACTTACTGATTAGCCTCGGAGTTCAGAGTCTTGTTTGGATCGGACTCTTCACGCTGAACTCCACATATGCGCTGGGATACGGAGCCAATATCCCCGTCTCACGCCGCCTGGCCAACCTACCTTACGTCCTCTGGGTGTCCGCCTTCAATATTGGGCAACTTTTCCTGTTCTGCAGCGTGGAAACTGTATTCTTTCCCTTTGTCCATCGTGAAACTGAAAAAAGTGGGGAGGCTGAGCGTGTATCTCTGGCGACCAGTCGGATTATGGCTGCGTTCAACAAAAATGGGCTTGCCATTTTCTTGGTGGCAAATCTCCTGACGGGGGCTGTCAATCTGAGCGTCCCGACGCTTGACGTCAACACACTGCAGAGCATGGCGATCCTTGTCGCATATGCTGCAGTTATCACGGGCGTTGCACTGGCCATGCAAAAGGCGAACATTAAGCTGGTTCTGTGAGGGCGCACCGACACATGTCGTTTGGATTAGTGTATATACATTATGTAGTTAAAATATTTTTTTTTCTCGAATTCTCCGCCGTCAACAATGTGGATCTCGTGGCGGGGGCAATTGATCGGAGGCAGTCCAAAGAACACGAAGCTTTGGCAGTTGAACCGAGGCGTCATGCGCCATCAGGTGACTCCCCCACTCGTGTTGTCGCCGGCCTGCGGCGGATTAGAATCCTCTTCCTTCTCTTTCCTTTCAACTACCTCGACTGCAAAGCCATCATGAGTGCAAACACCGGCGAACCACAGTTCTTCCACTACCCGGAGATCCGCCAGGGACCGTCCGCGCCGTACCAGAACGAAGACCAGTCCATTCCTGTTTTTCGCGGCACTCCTTTGGCTATTGGCGCTGCCCTGTGAGGACTGAGTTTTTCCTTGCCAACTTTAACCTTGGCCTCTCGCGTGGTGCGCCTGCTGACATAGTCGATTCTCTCCTAATTTAGAATCCATTCCGTGGGGTTTATCCAGAGCTACTTTTGGCGCAATGCCGGCTTTGACGTCGTTCGCGAAGTCCCGCAACTCCAGCAGTATTCCGCCCGCTACGACCCTACCGTCATTCCGATTCATGATTCCAAGAATTCGCCTCGCTCCGATCTTCCCGTGCCGACGGAGAGACGCAAAGGGTCTTTGGGCTATTATACCTCCGCCGATTACCATGCCCTCTTCAAGTCGGGGGAATTGACCCCGATCGCGGTCGCCGAGGCACTTCTTCCTTTGATCCGCCGGGACGCAAAGCCCCCCGGCAAGCATTCAGTCGCGTTCTTAGAATCCCAGATAGAGAAAGTCCGTGCCGCTGCAGAGGCTTCCACCAAAAGATACAAGGAGGGCAAGCCCCTGGGTCCCTTGGACGGTGTTCCCGTGGCGATCAAAGACGAAGTACATATCGACGGATACCGTCGGACGCTCGGGACCAAGTTGGACTTCAAAGGCAATTTCGAAGGTACCTCCTGGTGCGTGAAGAAATGGGAAGAGGCCGGTGCTATTGTCGTCGGCAAGACCACCATGCACGAACTTGGTCTGGGTAAGCATTTCCCTCACTATGCCCAGCCTACCGCATGCAAGCTGACACTCTGACTAGACACTAACAACAACAACCCCAATTACGGTACTCCGAGAAACCCTAGCAACCGCAACTATTACTGCGGAGGCTCTTCCGGAGGCTCCGGCTACGCCGTGGGTGCGGGCCTGGTGCCCATCGCCCTAGGCGCAGACGGAGGTGGCTCGATTCGTATCCCGTCATCCTTCTGCGGAGTCTGGGGTCTCAAACCGTCGCACGGGCGAGTGAGCGGTAGCCCGACTGTGTCGCTTGCGTCGACCGTCGGTGTCTACGGACCGATTGCCGCCAGCATCGACGATCTGGCTCTCGCCTACCGTATCATGGCCGCTCCCGCCCCGGTCGATGAGGATCCCATGTCGGCGGCCTTCCCAGACCCGCTCACCAGCATCTCCTCATCCGAAGTCCGGCCCAAGAACAAGACCATCGGCATCGTCCGCGAGTGGATCGACCGCGCCGAGCCCTCGGTCCGCGCCGTCTTCGACTCCTCCCTCGACTTCTACCGCAAGCAGGGCTACAAGGTCATCGACATCAACATCCCCTACCTCCCCGAAGGCCAGCGCGCCCACGTCCTCACCATCATGACCGAAATCGCCTCGGGCCTCTCCCCCCACCAAATCAGCAACCTGACCGCCCCCAACAAGGTCCTCGTGTCCATGGGTATGTGGCAGATCGCAGGCCAGGACTTCCTCGCCGCCCAGCGTCTCCGCAACCTCCTCATGTCCCACCTCGCCCACCTCTTCCAATCCCACCCGGGCCTCCTCATCCTCTCCCCAACCACCCCTATCCCCGGCTGGAAGATCGGCGGCGACGCAGACCTCTCGCGCGGCCTGTCCGACGGCAAATCCTCCGTCCGCAACATGGAGTACGTCTGGCTGGCCAACTTCACCGGCTGCCCCGCCATCAACATCCCGGCCGGCTACGCCCAGGACGGCAACCGCGTGCCCATCGGCGTCATGGCCATGGGAGAATGGGGCACCGAGGAAGACCTCATCGCCTTTGCCCGTGATGGCGAAGCTATCCTCGATCTTCCCGAGAACCAACCCTCTGCTGCAGCCAAAACCGATGAACAGTCCTCTGGTCTGAAGATCCCGCAAGGCGAGGGCTCCCTGTGGGAAGACATCATCGGAACAGCCACAGCCACAGCCCCTGAAAGTTCAACTTAGTAGTAAACCATCTCTATGCGCCCAACTGGTTTGGGTCTAGTAGATGTTTCATGCATGCTTCAGGATCAATTAATTGATCGATTGATTGTGTGTATTTGCTTTCATAGCGCAAGAACCAAGAGCGAATGCGTGGTTGCATGAATGTGTATAGCATGGCATGCATGGCTGGCCTGATTGATTTCTACTTTTTCTTTCTATTCAGTGTCTTTTACATTCCTACTGGTACTTCTTTTTTAATTTCATCCATTCACATATTTCTTTTCAACACAATCAATCAGCTTTCGGGTCATATTTTATGCTTCTCTATCATTACTCAATTTGTTAGTTATCTACGAGGTCGGGCATTAACGTGCAATATCACCCTTAAATGCAGGTCCATCAAGCGTAATACCACAAGCTATCCACTGGATTGTATAATCACGAAATCCGGCAGTTCAGCTTCGTCAGGATATTGCAGCCCGACTCGAAATATAGTATACTACTTCAAGGGATCTTTCTCATAAGCTGAATATCAACAGTTACGAATCTCCCCCCTGGCACGACTCCCCATGAAGCATAAACATGATTCATCGACTCCAAGATATAAGAACAGTGAACAGTGAACAGTGAACAGTGATTTTCCGATCGAAACGAATCCAACTTATACCACCCATATTCTATTAATGTACATGAAAAAAGGTTCACAAGTACAGAGAAGAAAGAAACAAGTCATAACGATGCAAACCAGCAAGTAACAAACATTCAGCATAACAATCGTACTCAGTCATCCACCCATGAACAAAAAAGAAAAGTCTAACAAACAAACAAACAAAAAATAAAAAAAAGCATTATGATAGCAAAAAGCGGCGGTAGGTAAGTAGGGATCGGTTGTCTTTCATCGAGGTTATTTCCAAAGAATATGCGGGTGAGTGGAAAAGAGGCTTTGGCACTATGGCACTGGTTTTTCCCGTGGATTTGCTCTGCTGCGGTAGATAGCAATTTCAAATCGATAGATGAGGGAATAGATGCAAGTAGTAGCTCGGTGCCACGGTATAATGCTGCTAGAAAGTCGAAGACAAGGAAGTCTCTGACAAGGCATCAGATTCGAGCGTATCGAGCAAGGAAAAGGATCCGGTTCCCTATACACCACAGAGGCTCACGAAGTCTAGAGGCAAGTATAGGAGGAAACATCGAAAGCTTCAGCGATCAGGAATATGCGGCAGATGTTCATCCGGCTGGTATTAAATTAAGATATTCTCACCACGGCAGGGAACGCGAATCTGGCACCCTAGATTCTCTGTAATTGCCAAATTCGTGACTTCATTCAATATCCGATCGGCGACCGGCTCGTCCTCACTCATATCATCTTTAATGTGAATGAGGAAGATGGTCAGCCCTTCCAAAGGTTTCTCCTTCTCTGACCACCCAATGCCGTCATCCGTTTCATCAGGGCCTTCACCACCAGCAACAAGGGGGCTGCTAGGTTTGTCAACAAACGTGACAGTACTTGGTCTGCCTTTGCGCGGTGTGTCTTTCGCATGTGACTGAGATCTTGTTCTCCCTTTCCTCTGCTTGCTGCTGGTAGGTTCGTCCAGGGGCCCTTCTTCGGTTGGCGACGGGACACGCTTGCGTTTGCGGTCTGCTCCATGCTTTATTTTGGCGACCAATTGGGCCAGGACCTTAAGTTCCGCTATCAAGTGGCGTGGACAAAGATGGCCGTATAGGTACTCGTCAGAAACGGAGTCATCGTAAGAACACTCGATGAAAATAGCGCGCAAAGCGCTGGAAATAATCTTTGGTGCGGCTTGTTCCCAGACACGACGGTTGCGCGGATGGACCGATACCGAGTCTGGCTCAATGTCCCCGAATATTATTATTTCTTTGCCTGAAGGATGATCACGAATGAAGAATGCCGAGCTTTCGACCGTCCCATATACTTCCCGCGGAGACTGCGAAGATGGCGCTTGTCCCGTCGCCGGTGAGAGTGACGGCATGGAGAGCCTGCCCATCAAATAATCGGTTAGCTTTGAAGAATTAGAGTCTCGATCAACTTACGTTGGGTCATCTAGCTGGAACATTGTGGGGTCTGCTGACGATGGCATGCTCAAGCGACGGGGATTTATATCAGGCGTTGACGTGGTGTGTTGTTGCTGATACCCCTGTTTGCATCGCCCATGGCTTACGGCAAAGCACCGAGTCATCAATCCCTCGCAAGCGCGTACATAGCCCTTCTCTTCATCTCGGCCCATGTGTGGGTTGCCCCCTTCCACCAAGCGTTGGAAAGTGATGAGACCTGCTCCACCATCCTCGTCGGTGAGATTTGGCCATAGTACCTCATTAAACATGTGCTCTTTGAAGGCGGCGATGACTGACGGTAACGCAGTCAAGCGTTTGGGACCGCTTGAGGCTTCCAGAATCGGTGTGTTTACGACAAACCCCGAGATATGGTCAAGATGGGCATGTGTGACTAGGACGGGTCCGACAGTTTCTCGTAGGATGTGTGCTGCATTTGCCTTGGCTGTTTTGTAGGGCATAACCATACCGGCGAATGGCCCATTGTCGTCACTGGTCTCTAGAACGTACTTTAACCCACATAAAAGGGTGCCGGCGTCGACTGCGATCATCGAATCGGGTCCCCAACTCGCAGAGGTCGAACGAACCAGCATCCCAGTAATGTTATCTTCACATGGGCCTCCTGACGGTCCCTTTTGAAACAGGTCAGCAATTATCTTGTTTGTCAAATGTCGGATCCCGAAACTTGCCGAGAACCATACGCAATAGCGAAAGCCACTTCGCTCAAGGAAACCAAACGAACAGCCCAAGTGGGTATCGTCACAGAAACCTGGGGAATCATGGGAGAGAGGAAAGTGAATTATGGTAAAAGGGAGGGGCGATCAAAAACAAAAGGTGACGTGTAGGGGGGACACGAACGGCCAAGACCTACCAAAACAATCACTTGCAAGCCTCCATTTGCGATTCCTAATGCAGGACCCGTTTCAGTTTCGACTCCTCCAGCCTTGGATGCTGCCTTAGTTTCATTTCCCACTCCCTTGCCCGTTGCCATCATCTTGTGGAGCAGAACTGAAGAAAGATCAAAAGTATAGACAGCCTCTCGGCAAAATACGCCGACAAGAGACACCTGAAAGGCTTCCGTTGCCTCTTTGTCTTTTAAACAATAGTAAGGTCAAGGGTGTGTTGCCGTGAGAAGTATGATGTATTTTCCGACCTCGAACAACCAGCGCGGGTGTTTACGTTTTATGGTTGAAAAGAAAGATAATGGAAGATTCCACCTGACTGGTAGCGTCCTCGTTGCTTCTTTGTTGTTGTCAGGGGAAGAACAAAAAGAAGGACGAACAGCATTGATGTCGCACGTGCTGAAAAAGGCTTCAGCAGGCGATTCGCAGCTGAATCAAAGCCTGCGCGTGATCGCCCCGGCCTCTGGAAAGGTGAGAACGGCTGGGCACAGGCAAGCAGGAAAAGAGGCCTTAACTCCGGGGGGTCTGTGAATTAGCGGACGGTTGTGACAGTCTTGTGTCACCACTACTAAAAACCGAACGTGGATCGCCGAGAAGAAGGGATTCCAGAAGCAATCGAATGCAAAATTGCTGCCGATCTGTCTTTGTTTCTTTTCTTTTCTTTTCTTCTTTTTTTTTTTTCGTCTTCTTTGTCCCAGGTCAATGGCCCAATGCTTGGATGTAGAGGTTCGTTTCTCGACAAGGTCAAATCCGTCGTCAGAGGCTGGTTCCAGCTTATGCGCAACTTCAAGTAGCTCCAAGATGTTATTCCTCAACCATCCGGTCATGTATGCATTCGCTCAACTCATCCACTGTGCATTCAATCGGCGGATCTATGGCCAAGGTGGCTGGTGGGCCCCGATCGGGAAGGGCGTTAGGTGGACAAGGCAGAAGTCGGGAGGCGTTGTGAGAGGTCCAATTGTCCACTGTTTGGAAGTTCGAGAAGAAAAAGAAAAGGAAGCAGAGGATACCGGAACGACCACGGCAACTAGATATACGGATTCCCCCGGCTCAGAAAGGCGGAGAATGGAAAAGTGGGCAGGGACGGGGGCAGAGAGATCGCGAAGCAGTAGTAGATCAGATTAATTAAATAATTAATTGGTCAAGAAATTGAAAGCAGGGAGGTAGGGGCAATTAGCGAAGGATCGCGCTAGCTGGGGCCAGATAGTGATGGTCGGTTCGAAGAGTAAGCAGGCCATGCCTTTGTTACTCGAGCGAACCATGATCGTCGAAGAGACAAAAAGTCGTAGTCACAAAGACTCCCAAGACCCAAAGCGACAGCGCGTGCGGAGAGATGACGTAATCTACTTCGAGTTCTCTTGCTTATCGTCACCTGAGCCTTATCGTCCTTATCGATAGATTTGCCTTATCGTTATCGGCATACCGCTAACTCTAGTATAGACGAGGTCACTACGGAGTACAGAAAAGGCTGCCTGCGCAATTTTCAATAGAGAAAGCACGTATGCATGGTGGTATTCCGATAATAGAAAGGGGATATCAATCGCTGAGACTTCCAGATTCCGTATCGCATTCTGGAATCAGGTCGTTCTCCGAACGCCGTGTAGTTCAAATGAATATGGTTTTGGGTTCGAGTGCCGTATAGCCCGTTGCTCTCAAGCTGATGGGAACGCATCGATCCGGAAAGGAAACATATGAGAAACATGAGAAAGGGGAGAAAAAAGAAGAACCAGTCCCTATATACGTAAAAGAGTCATCACTGCCACTGTCCCGTGGCATACCGCCTCCCATGAAAAGTTCGACCGTGAAAACTCGCCCAATAAAACGCCAACCCCGACCGCTAAACTCAAGGACAGAAATGATATCAACATGGTGGACGGCTCGCATGCCTATAAACACAAGGGGACCTCGCCGATTACCTAGAAAGGGGGTCGAAAGAAAGGAAACATGAAGGGGATGTTTAAGGTGGTTTAATGATTTTCGTCCGTGGCAGTCCCCTCACGGGCATGGTCTGCATTACCAACGGCGGCATCGTAGCTGGGTATGGGCGGCTGATCTTGTCGTGAGAAGTCCTCGCTGTTCCGGAGACTCCCATCCGCACTAGAATAATCCGGGGGAGGGGCCTGGTCGGCATCGTCGCCGTCGTGCGGGTTCAATAGCGGATCCTGCTCGCCATCTCCATTTGTCCGACTAGAACCCTCTCCGGCATCCTCATTAGAAGGCACATGGGCTAGTTGGGCGAGCGAGATATCGGTCGGGGATCGCACCGGACCAGGACTGACAGAGGGTGCAATTCGAAGGGTTGAGCTGGTCCGCGCGTTGCCAGCGTCCTGGTAGACACGGTGGGAGATCTGGGCAGCACTCTCGCGGCCAGATTCGAGTAGAATGCTGCCTTGCTCGCTTCCATATGGTGGAGGAGGGGCCAGACTACCGGTCATTGGTGCCAGACCCCATTTCTTGACATTCGCTTCGATGAACACAAATCCCATCTGACCGAAATTGACGTGGACAGCACACGGTCCATTCGCACCCACTGTGGGAAAGAAATTCTGCGCCTTCTGACCATGAACAACATCTTCGAGTTTCTTTCCATTACGGGTGAAGAAGATCGTGCCCGATCGAGGCCGGTATCCGATTCCGATAACATCTCCTTGGGTGAGCTGAGGGCCATACGGAGCGGACGCGAACGGTTGGTTGTATCTCCGGTGACCCGTGGACTGGTAGGCGACCGAGGATTTGTGGAACCCTAGAGTGAAGGTGGATTAGCGATCAGCGGAACATTCGATAAGTCGCGCATAAGAGACAGAGCGTACCAGGTAGTCTGAACAATGGATAAGGTTTTGTGCTCATGCCAATGCTGATAAGAGTAGCTTCGGGCTTATCGTAGATTTTCGCCTCCCAATAGTAAACGTCGTTCTGCTTTGGAACCGGCAAGTTGGTCTGAACACTGCATTCTGAGTCGTAGAACTCGATTTCCGTCCGGGCCTCGACAAAGCAGTTGGCGATTTCCAGCTCCGGTTGAAATTCCCACGCCGATACACCCTTCTCCTGGATCGCAAGAAACTGAGACAACGAGATATCGGTCTGCATCGACTCGGGGGGGTTGGCTTCGACGAAGGCTGAAGGAATTCCAAATCAGCGAACTGCGCCATCTCGGTGATTGCGCATTGTGTATCTTCGAAACTCACCTTTCGCTCTCAAGTACTCCGATCGCGACAGATCATCCATGGTTTCCAGCGCCTCCGACTCCTCCCGCAAGAAAGCCTGTTCATCATCGAATTCACCGGGTCGACCGATGCGATCCAAGATAATTCTACCACGTCGAGTATACTTGAAGAAAAAGAACACCGCCAGGACAACCACCGCGACAGCCGCAGAGCCAAAAGCGGAGAGGACGCCGATCAAGATGCCTTTACCGGTCGAACTCGGCGTATTGCCACTGGCGCTGACTAGACCGCCATCTTGACTTCTGGCCGACATTGCCATACGAACAGGCTCGATGTTGGGGGCGACTCGGTCGGAGATGGCGGCGGGATGGTTGGCTTCTGCGACCGGGAGGACGGACGGTGTGCGGCTTATCACGGAAGTAGTGAGGGTGGTAGAGGGAGCATCCCAAAGGGCACCGGGCCCCGATGCTTCAGATCCCCGCATCGTTCATTGACTGGATTCGAAACGGAAGGTCGAAAGATATCAATGTCGGGGGGTATGGAAATAAAGGTAAAGTAATCACCGACCAAGGAAAAGGGGAGACTGGCGGAGGATAAGGTGGGCAGGGGAGTGGGAAGGAGAGGGCGATGATACCAGGAAGAAGACGGGAAGAGGGAGAAGGGGAGAAATTGGGCGAGAAGGACGAAAATGACAGGATGGTAAGTTACCAGACAGTCACGCCTCGATGTCATGATTACAGGTGGGGAGGCCGCGATGACGGCGACGCTTCCGGGCGCTGCGTTCAGAAGGGCCATCCAATAATACATTCTTGCCCAAAGTCAATCGGCTAATTCTGTAGGAGCAGCGTCCCACAAGCTTAATTATTAGGAACTGAGGATACAGGGCAATGACTTCCATGTCGATCCCAAAGATATTGCCGACAATTCCTTCGAGAATCAGGCAATGACGACAGTCGCAGCATTTGACACGGCCGTGTAGGACGCTGTAGTACTAGGTAAGGTCGAAATGTAATGAAAGATACCGTACAGATCCAATACAGAGCCTTGAAATACAGGACGTCCATATCTGCCTTGCAGGTCGCCGCTTTAACGGGCTTGGCAGAGGCGGATATCGTGTCTAGCGTTGACCCTACAGGTAGGTTTTATCCCTCATCGGGCTCTCATCGATGCATCCACAGTAGTTACATCTCCTCGCTGACAGATTGACTTCTTCCTCGGAGTGAACCCTTTCCCAGGAAAAGCTCCCTATGACCAGAAGTATGCATCTCTTCATTTCACTCAATCAACCACTCCGTTAAACACACTCTTCCCTTACTTCGATCTATGCCTCCTGGGAGCGCTCAACTCCTGCCTTTTACCCTTGTCAATAGCATGGCCAAATATGGCAAACCCTGTCACCACATGATCGGGAATAAACCGCCAACTGGCAGTGGTCTAGGTCACAAGCGTCCGGAGTCGACTACGGTATGGAGTAGTATCTACCGCCACTTTGGTAAATATTCGCTGATAGGATATCTCGACCCATATTGCAGCACAAAGGGAAGTATCATGGGGCTAGCTCAGCCAGCTGGTCTATGTAGCTCTTGAAGATTGTATGTAGAACATGTTTGTCCGCCAACACTTGCTGTGTCCCGCTGTCCTGCTGGTACTCCGGGAAGTGCGGTGTCACAGTGTCACAGATCCCATACTGTGAGACTGCAGCTGTGTATGAATGGTGCATGCCCAACATGGCTCCTAGGGATTTATTTGCAGGTTCTGTCTTACGTTCCATGATGCGACACGTCTGGCTGATCAGAGACGATCTATTCCGTAGCTCTCGTGAAGAACGTCGTCTTGAAGGTGACTTGGTGCCACGACATTGTTTCATGGAATATTGAGTCTTACTAGCCTGATGAGCATAATCTTTAAGTTTTTAGTTGTAGTTCCTTTAGGATTTCGAGTGTTTTGGGAACCTTATTCCTCAGTCCTGTGACCTGCCGAGCCCTTTAACCACTCGACGATGAGATTCGTAGCTCAGTGGTATTCCAATGTATGGTACGTAAATCTGGCAAAACAACTTGTTCATAGCAGCTGTCACGATAAAAAATTAGCTGTCTGCTGAGGGAGTGATTAACTGATCATCCTGGCTAGAAAATACTACATGAAACGATTATGTCGAACATGTTAAGCGCCTTCATGGTTTTCGTAGCTCAGTGGTATTTCCCGCGTCGGAGGATTGAAGCTCGAGACGGCAGTACATACTCCAGCCTCCACATGCAGCACAGCCAACAGGTTCACTCTTCCTAAAATTTTCCGATAGTATTTGGAAATTGATCATCTTTATCTTCACCTGTATATCAAGCTTAAAGATACATATCACTTTCCTTGGGGAATACAGAATGGTTTAACTTTAGTTATTAACTATATTAGCAGATTACTTAATCACGGAGCCTAGTTTATCGCCGAACCCAGGCAGCCCTGTATCACTTTCATCTCCCTGCACTCCTTCGTCCCTCCATGCCCCCTTTTAACCTCATCCTGTCTTGATATTTTGCAGTCATATAGCTTTATCCCTGAACTGTATACTCCTGAGTCAAGTGTATGTTTATCCCCAGATCGTGAGAAACAAAATGGGTGTCCGACCTTGTTTACCGTCTTCTGTTATCGGTCCGGATACCGCTTGCGATATCCGAATCACGGTGACAGGCAACGAGTGCGACAAATACCCAGGTAAGGCATACATCCCCCTTCGACTCGCCTTTCACCCCCTTTACGCAGCGATGACATCGCTCTAAGGGCTAATCTCCGATCGACTACAGCCAAGTCGCACGCGCGCAAGACGGCGTTGAAACTCGGCGCCTCCTCCGGCCTGATCTACCTCGCCGGCCAACCCACCATCAACTGGGGCGACTCGGACCAACCGCGAACCTTCCGACAAAGGCGCTACTTCTACTACCTCACCGGTGCCGACGAGGCCGACTGCCATGTCACCTACGATATCCAAAATGACCTCCTAACCCTCTACGTGCCGGACTTTGACCTGCATCGCGCCATCTGGATGGGACCCACGCTGACCGTGGACGAGGCCCTGCACCGCTACGACGTCGACCGCGTGCGCTACCATGCGTCCCTGTCCGACGACATCCAGTCCTGGGCGCGAAAGTCCAACGCCGCGAACAACCCCATCTACATCCTCCACGAGTCGCAGAAACCCGCGCTCTCGACCCCCGTCAGCGGCATCCGATTCGACCATGACCGTCTCCTCCTGGCCATGAACGCCGCGCGCATGGTCAAAGACGAATACGAGATCCGGATGATCCGGCATGCGAATAAAATCTCCGGGCTTGCGCATCGCAAGATCCTAGAGAATATCCACAAGATGAAGAACGAGACGGAGATCGAGGGTCTCTTTCTCGATACGTGCGTGTCGCACGGCGCGAAGAACCAATCCTACGAGCTTATCGCCGGGTCAGGTGAGAACGCCGCCGTGCTGCACTACGTCAAGAACGACGAGCCCCTGCACGGAAGACAGCTGGTCTGTCTGGACGCGGGCGCTGAATGGAATTGTTACGCCAGCGACGTGACGCGGACCATTCCCCTGCTAGGATCAGGGTCAGGGTCGTCGGAGGAAGGATCGTCGTCGTCAGACTGGCCCAGCGAACGCGCCAAGGCCATCTACCAGATCGTCGAAGACATCCAAGAACGCTGCATCAAGCTCTCAAAGGAAGGCTCCAGCTTCTCGCTTCTACAGAAAGTCGCCCGGTTCTACACCGTCAAAGGACTCCGTCGGCTCGGGGTCCTCCGCGGCGACGACATCAAGGAGATCCTCTCCTCGGGGGCATCCAATATCTTCTTCCCGCACGGGCTCGGCCACCACGTCGGTCTCGAAGTTCACGACGTCACGCAGTTCTCGAACACCATGCAAGACCCCTCCAGCATCAAGCAATGGGGTGGGCGCTCATTCGTACCGCCCGTCTGCTCCAGCGAGGGAGATAGAAGCACATCTTCGCGGCCCGACGCCTTCGAAGAAGGCATGATCATCACCGTCGAACCCGGTATCTACTTCTCTCGTCTGGCCCTGCGGAATGCCCGCACCCTGCCTCTGGCCAGGTATATCAACTTCGAGGAGGCGGAGAAGTATATTTCCGTCGGGGGCGTCCGGATCGAAGACGATGTGTTGATCACGAAGGGCGGCCCGGAGAATCTGACCACGGCGCCGAAGGGCCAGGAGATGTTAGATATTCTTCGTCGCGGGATTCGAAATTAGTCCACTGGTTGGGCTGCATTGCCCTTGTTTCTCTCATTCGATACCAACTAGCTAGCCTTTGGCTTTTATTATTCTTTACCGCAAAGGTTTTCTACGTATATTAGAGGATGGATATCCTGTTCAACACAAAGCGATGGTATACTGAATTATACGTTCTAGCACGATCAAACACACGAAACACTCAAGAAAAAGATCTTCCCTAACTAGAAAAATCTATTTGAAAACAAGTAATTTAGAGAAAAAAAAAATCTAACGACAGCAAATATAATACACCAAAGTAGTTTTTCACACGTCACGTCACGTCACGAGACACCCTTTAAAAAATCTATTTGGCGATCTCAACACCACCAGTGACGTTCAAGAGACGCTTGATGTCACCGTAGATGGCGAACTGACCGGCAGTCAGGGTACCGACCATGAACAGACGGGCACCAATACCGGCGTAAGAGCCACGGAAGCCAAGCTCCTTTCCGATCTTGAACAGACGGGAGACGGTACCCTCGCCGGGCTCACCGGGGGTCTTGTTGATCTTGGAGAGCATGGTGTCAGCGGGCTGGGAGACGAGAGCGGCGGCGAAACCGGCGATGAGACCGGAACCAAGGTTGACGGCGGTCTTGGTGCCATCGGAAGCGGTGTTCTTGTCGACGAAGCCGTAGGCAGCCTCGGAGACCTTCTCGAAGACGACGAACTTGGACATGGTGTAGGGGACCCTGGAGGGGTGGGTTGGTTAGAAGTCATGTTTTCCTTCGGTTTTGATAGATTGGAAGTGAAAAAGTGACAGGGAACTTACTGCTTGAAGAGAATGGGGCCGAATCCAGAGTAGAAAGCACCGATACCCTCGTTCTTGAGGATCTTACCGAAACCGCTCAGGAGACCGGAGGCGAAAGTGGGCTGAGAGACGAGACGGATACGGGTGGCTTCCAGAGGGCAGAGGGCGATATCAGCGAAGAATTCGGCGGTAGCGGACGAGGCGAGGTAGACGGCGGTGCGGTTGTTGGAGGCAGTCTCGTATCCGAGCTGGTTGATCCACTGCTGCTTGAAGAACTCATAACCTCCGAACTTGAAGGCACCCTGGAGGAAGTAACCGGCGGCGGTAGGACCGAAACCAGTCAGGAGAGCGCCAGCACCCTCGTTGGCAATGACCTGGCGGAAACCACCGAGCATACCCCGGTTGTAGGTGACGGGGTCAAGCTGGATACGGGTCTTGACGCTGAAGAAGGCGGAAAGGCATGTCAGCGAGATTGAAAACACCTTGTCATTGTGTTTACGTGGATTCAATAGGTGAGGTCTTGTGATGATGATTTTTTTTGAAAGGCACGGCGCGCAGGCAGGGAGATGACCCGGATCGGAATCACGCGCGTTTCAATGCGATCAATGCGACGAGGGCGATGACAAGGGCGATGGGACTTACACATCGACGGGAGTCAGAGCACCGTGAGTGACGGAGCAGCAGACAGCACCAGCGAAGGCGAACTTGGAGTAGAGCTGAAGGCCGCTGGGAGCAGCAGGGGGGGCGACGGCGGCCTTAGCGGCCTCCACGGGGGAGTTGTTCGTGGCGGACATTATTATAGATGTGTATATGTGCTCTAAACACCGAGAAAGAAAGAAAAAGAGGGAGGAGAGGAGAGTGGGGGGGGGAGGAAGAGCAAGCAATTGAAGCTTTGCAGAGTTTGGGATGGGAGAGAAAACGAGGCTGTTAGACCGGGAAGGAGATTTGAAAGGGATGGCTCGGCTCGACTGGCACTAGCGGCTCCCATCCCGAAAACTTTTCGCCCGCCAATGCGCTTGCCACCGTTAAACCCGATCGTCCGGTCAACCAGTTTTCCTGAACTCATCGGCGTGAACTTTCGACAGGATGAGCGCGCCCCGACCTACAGAGTAGGAGTGCAGAGTATCTTGCGTTGATACTGACAGATGACAGGGGCCATTCGTCCCCTTGGTATCTTGCCAGAAAACACCTACACCGAGTATATTTTGGTTCCACCGCCCGCTTTCTTCGAGATACTCCCGAACTGACAACATCCTACGGCATTGCACCCGGCTTGTCCGGAGACCAGATGCGCCGTCATGGTTGACATCATCGAAGATCTGATATTGAAGACCCGACTAGACTGTTTCCACCTATAGTGGCCTTCCTCCAGATTGCAACGGTTACGGCCTCAGGCAGCAGCAGAGCCCTACACCGTAGGAATATAGACTACTCCGTACCGACAATAGCACTCCGTTAACAGTGGTCGCTCTCAGTTACTGGCGATTTCACGGACCACAGGCGAAGAATGATATCACATCCGACCGCAAATTGCTCATTTCTGCCCGGAATCGCGGTGGATTCGTGCCTTGGAGGGATGGATACCTCAGGCGAAAACCTTATTCTGCACCCGCTGATTGGTGGACTGTCGCCGTCCTCCTTCGCCGGCTTCCGATGGTTTTTTTTATTGTCATTTTTTATTTTATTCTTTTTATTATTTATTTATAGACTGCATCTTCCTTTGACAGATAACCTAGTGGCTCTGGCTATAAAGACACAGCTATAGCTATGGTCTCCATTAGCATCAGAGAGTTAATCCCTCACTCACAGAATTGTGGATAGGAGGAATGCCGCCAATCCAAATAAACGGTTTTCTCCCTTACAGCTCCATCCCAGCTATGACCGCAAGCACCGCCCGTCCTTGCTGGCAAAAAAAAGCCTGGCCCCGTGTCACATACGCTGCAGACAACGAAGTAGGAGATCATTGCAAAGCCACCGCGTCAAGAAAGCCAGCATGCAACACACGTCAGACACTCGATAGATCCGTTACTTTTAAAAACCTTGACGAAGCCTGACGCGCGCTTCCGTCGCTATATAACAAACTTATCTTAACTTCAACCTCCTGTACTTTCCTTTAGATTCTGGATTCAATAAAATTCTAGAAATAAATTATATGAAATATTTTTTCACGACAGTGCAATGCTAAGCTTCCTTCAGTGCCTTTTTCCGAGCGGATGGACACGACAAAAATGGAAGGATATTGAAGGTGAGCAGTGTGTCTTTTCGGTGTAATATCAAAAATTTGTTGTCTGAACTTTTAACAATAAACCAGAAAAGGCAGAAAACCTGGAGAAGCTCCCGTCTTGGGATACCCCTGACAATCAACTCATGCTGCAAGGCTTCGAATGGCACGTCCCGAATGACAAGGGACACTGGCGCCGTCTTGAGCAAGCTCTGCCCGATTTGAAGGCCATCGGAGTCGACAACATATGGATTCCCCCAGGGTGTAAAGCGATGAATCCCGCAGGCAACGGATACGACATCTACGACCTCTATGATATCGGGGAGTTCGATCAAAAAGGCTCGCGGGCGACCAAATGGGGTACGAAAGAGGAACTGCAGTCGCTGCTGGCTTGCGCCGACGAACTCAGGATCGGGATCTATTGGGATGCTGTGCTCAACCACAAGGCCGGTGCAGACTATACGGAACAGTTCGCGGCTGTGAGAGTGGACCCCCGAAGTAAGCCTGCTTGCATTCGACGCAGATGTGTAAAAAGTCGTTGATCCGTTAACTGCAAAATAAACAGATCGAGACGTGGAGATCGCACAACCTGATCTGGTCGAAGGCTGGACTGGGTTCGAGTTCCCAGGCCGTTCGGAGATGTATAGTTCTATGAAATATTCGTGGCATCACTTCAGTGGTGTAGACTGGGACCAAATGCACAGGCGAAATGGAATATACAAGATCCTTGGTCCCAATAAAGGGTGGGCTGACGATGTCAGCAAGGAAAACGGCAACTATGACTTTCTCATGTTCGCCGACTTGGATTATTGCGACCCGGAAGTTCAAGATGACGTTCTCAACTGGGCTACATGGATTGCCTCTCAATTGCCTCTCAGTGGCATGAGGCTCGACGCTGCGAAGCACTATTCCTGGGGTTTCCAGGCAACGTTGATTGATCACCTCCGGGCGACTTTTGGACCTCGTTTTTTCGTGGTAGGGGAATATTGGAAGGGTGAAGTTGAGCCGTTGCTGGAATACTTAGAACAGACAGAATATAAAATGTCGTTGTTTGATGCGCCATTGGTTGAGCGCTTCTCAAGTATATCTCAGACGAGAAAGGCTGACCTTCGTGACATTTTCGACGGTACGTTGGTTGAATGCCAACCGTCACACGCAGTTGTAAGTCATCTACCTCTTCATCGGCTAGGTAGTCTTGAAAGACTGATTTTGCTTTGTTCCACAGACCTTTGTGATGAACCACGACACGGTAAGAGAAACACTGTCTCAAAACTTGACTCGGGCTAATCGCCTTGCAGCAACCAGGGCAATCCTTAGAGGTATGACAAGTCCCTATGCTCTCTTTCCAATCTTCTCAATCTAACAAATCTTGATAGGCACCAATAGAATCGTTCTTCAAACCCCTAGCATATACCTTGATCTTATTACGGGATACAGGACTGCCGTGTTTGTTCTACGGGGATCTCTATGGCATCGGCAACGACGTCGATAACCCGATGACTCCTTCCTGTGGAGGCCGACTCCCCATCCTGGCCAAGGCCCGCAAATTGTATGCATATGGGGAGCAGCAAGACTATTTCGACCAGCCTAATTGCATTGGTTTGTCCCATCCTGTCCCGTGAGCAAACAGTGTGTATCCCCCGCTAACTAACCCAGGGTTCGTTCGATACGGTAACTCGTATCATCCGGACGGTCTTGTTTGCGTCATGAGCAATGCCGGTTCTTCAAAGAAACGCATGTATGTTGGTCGGCGCCATGCGCGTGAACGATGGACCGATATATTGGAATGGCACACCAAGGTCGTCATCATCGATAAACACGGCTACGGTGTCTTCCCTGTGTCCCCGATGAGTGTTGGGGTCTGGGTGAACTCCACAGCAAAGGGACGAGGTAGGCTGGAAATAATGAAATTGTAAGTTTTACTCTTTCATGGCAATGAAATAATGGTTGACTGAGGATATGGTATAGTGATGAAAAGATCTATGGTCGATGATTGAATCCTTGGGATGTGAATTACCAAGAAAGTATTTGGTATACACACAAAGCTTTCTGTTTAGAGCTTGCTTGAGCCAATCACAAATCACCTTCATATAATTATCTGTGATTAATTACTATGTAAATAATCGATTCAGGTGCATGAGGCGCTGTCAGCCAATCGGTTACCGTTTGCTCATCCTTTCAAACGCCTCTTCCAAGGAACTGCAGGATCCCTCTTCCTATATAAGACTTACTCTGGTCATGTCAATCTTTGAATTTCCATCTTCTACCATAGCTACTGCTGCATCATTTTCATCCCCATTCTATTCGGCTAGAAACCCGCAGAACACGTGATAGCGAGGCTGTGAGTTAGATCTACCTGATCCTGCGAAATCATCGCCCAGAATAAATTCCAGCTAACATCTGACACACGCACAATAGATTTGAGACACCTTGAAATGGAGTTCTTCAATTCCCCGGAATTCCGGCCCCACGTGGAGGAGTTGATGCGACAGAACCACGTGCCTGGCCTTTCCATCGCCGTCGTTCAGAACAACATCGTTTCTTCGGCAGGCTACGGACATGCATCTATCGAGCCGCCGGTACCATGCACGGCAGACACTCTTTTCGACATCGCATCTTTGTCGAAATCGCTGACCGCTGCCTCCGTCGGATTGTTGGTCGACGACGATGAAGCCTATCCCGAGATCCAATACCAAGCTGCCATGTCCAGCCTGCTGCCCGAGGACTTCGTGATGCCCAGCCCTGAGTACACGGAGGGCGTCACAGTGGAAGACATATTGAGTCATAGATCCGGAATGCCGGCGTAAGTACAGTATATCGCTTCCATGCCAATGATCAACCCTAATCAGAGAATTAAAGTCACGACAACTCATGCATGGGCGTACGAGCCGCGCAGCCCGACAACGCACGATCCGTTACGAGGAATCTGCGCAATCTCTCCACGGCGGCGCCCTTCCGTGCAAAATATCTCTATTGCAACATGATGTACACCGTGGCGACGCATCTGATCGAAGTGAAAACCCACCAGCCCTTTTCGGATTTCCTGCAACAGCGCTTTTTCGACCCCCTCGATATGCAATCGACCAGTCTCCAGCCCCAAAGTGCTCGTGCCAAGGGCCATGGAGACCGCATCGCGACCGGATATCTCTGGGAAAAGAAATCGTCGGCCTACCGCGGATTCCAAAGTCCAGATTGTCCGGAAGCCCAAGGCGCGGGCTCCGTCATCAGCAGCGCCAATGACTTCATCAAATGGGTCAAGGCTCTGATGAATCGCGAAGGACCGATCAATGAGCGCGTTTACCGGGGACTGACTCGCACGCGCACCATCATGGATCCCGCAATGAGGAGATTGAAACCGCATACATCGCCGGCTCTGTATGCTGCCGGACTGGAGGTGTATTTCTATCGAGGCCAGTTGATGATCGGACATCTTGGAGCGGTGGCAGGATTCGCTGGCCGGTTCTTTTTTCTGCCTGGCCTTGATTTTGGGGCTGTTATCTTGGGAAACGCAGAGGGGACAGTCCCGATTGGTGCGATCTTGGCTCGAAAGCTGATCGATACTGTGCTTAAGGTCCCTGAGATCGATCATCCGTGCCTTCTGACACCGCGTAACACCACGAGCGGCGTGAACACAAGTCGACCACGCAATACAGGGAAGAACAAGAAAGCGACGAGCAAGGCAGAGAAAGAAAAGCACGACAAGCCACAGCCACAAGGATTTCCTCTCCAGGCCTTCGTTGGCACGTATCACGAACCTGGGTATCACCAACTGACGGTTGAAATCAAGGACGAGAGGCTCTTCATCGACGCGACGGATCGGTCATTTGGATTTACGCTCACGTTCGAGTACAAGGGCGATGGAGATCATGCATCCGAGTACATGGGCGATGGAGATCATGCATGGGAGTACAAGGATAGAATTCATGCATTCTCCTACGTTGCTCATCTCAGCGATTTCCTAGAGGGAGGGGACGAGCCACTTGAAGCCGTGTTTATCTGTAGAGGTGACAAGGTGCTCAGCTTGGGGTTACGTTTAGAGAAGGCGTTTGAGCAGGACATTTATTTTGATAAAGACCAGGGCGATGAATGGATGGGATGTTGTGCTTCCCATCCTGGATGAGGAAGAAGAGGAAATGAACTGGACATCTAGACTACTATTTTTTGGGAATACTAGAGGGTTGGATACACAAGCATGTACAGTAGATGAAGCATTTCCCATCAAATTCGACGATGTTGTCAGCCCCAGAATCCGGCCGTCATCGTGCATCGAGCCTCGCAGGTCGATTACGCAAACCCCAACACCTGGACCGTACTGTAGCTTACTACTGTAGTACGGTGTACGGAGTAGGATGTCGAGCACATTGCAATCATAAAAATAGAATTCCTGGTTCCTGGTTCAACCGACATGACTCGGATACCAGGTGCATTCCCAATTCAGGAGGTCGCAGAAACGCAGACGGGATAAACGGTCTTGGACGAGGAGATCCCAGCGGACGGGAATGGAGGTGGCTTATGAGTCTTATCCTCCAGCTTCTTTCCACAAGCCGAGCCAATCGGTTAGAGATGAGATGCAGGAGAGGCGCATCGTCCAGTCGGAGTCCTGGGCAGATGCGCTATAATTAAATCCCACGCCGTGTGGCAGCCTGGCAGGTGATCCTCTTGAGGTCAGAGCAGAATAGATTTACTAGCACTAATTAATTATTAACTAGCCGTTAGCTCCTGCTCCTCCGTGCTTTCCGACCGATTTCCAATTTCCCGCCGCCAAGCCTGACCATTAACCAGGATGATTTCCAGATCTCGACCACCGCGGGATAATTATAGATCGTTCGTCTTCTGGATGATTTCTATTTTCACCTTCATTGCCATTGTTATCTTCATCTCTGAGGCTTAAGGCAATGAAGCCATCTGTGGCGGAGTTGGTCGCTGATCATGGATTTCTTCAGATGAATCCTCCAGTCGACGCTAGGGACGGACGGACTCCTTCAGCGTCATTCCACTCACTCTCTGCATGTCACACTTGCCCTTGGGGGCCATTTCACCCGTACTCAATAGTTGGCTTTTGAAACTTGAGCCCGAGATGTGGCTGGTCCATGATCGCCCTCCTTTTTATTGCACCTTTCTCGCGTGGCTCTCACTCTCTTGCTAACTCGTTATATAACCATTGACGTATCCCCCGTTCCTCAGATGATCGTCGCTGCTCTACTCTCGCTCGCTAGCTTGCTTATTACTCGCATTTCTCTCGTTCCTCGATCTTAGAATACCTTGTAGACATCTAGTGCGACTTGATTACGCCGGACCTCCTTGCTGACATTAATTCTGATACTGGTTTAATTTAACAATCGCTTTCTATTTATTGGCCTGAATTCCCTTCGTCAGCTGCGGTGGATGTAATTTCCTCTCGATCGGCTTTTCTTTTCCTTTCTTTTCCTTTCTTTCTCTTTTCTTGCGACTCGATCGCTGCAATGTCTTCGCCTGTCCCGCTATACCAGGAGGTGGCATGGGTGCCGCAAATGCAACCACCCATTTCCGAGACTGATCGATCGTCGTGGAGGTTCCTGGCAGCATTGTCGTCCAACCTGCTGCTGATCGGGTACGTACTAGCTGACTCCGATCTCATTGATGTCGCAAATCCACTGATCAATCGATGTGCGCGCAGATTCCTGGTCATTCCATTGGCCTTCGAAAGCCCGACGCAAGAAGCCGTCAGCAAAGTGAATTCCGTCGTCGCCGCTGCGGTGTTGATTGGATTCGCCGATGCTTTGGTATTAATCCTCATCTGCTTCCAATATGACAAGCGCGAGTACTTGATCCGATCAATATTCCTGTACGTTGGCTTCCCAATCGCCCTGCCCGGGGAGAAATGAATGAACTGATCGCTAACCCGACCCAGTCCCGGGTTAGTCTCCAACCTCATCGGCCTACTCAACGTGATCCTCAATATCCTGTGTCGCGACCTATTGCCCATCGGCCAGATTGAGGCTGCTAGCATGGGCCTCGCTTGTGCGTTTGCCTTTCTTCATGCCCTGGGCGCGTTGTGGGTGTACGGTCGGACGGTTTCCGAAGAGACTCGCGTGCACGGATCGAAAGACGACGCTGCGCTCCTGACCGAGGAAGAAATGCAGCGGCAGCAGCTCCTCCGACTTCTGCAGGAGAACAAGAAAGGCGCAAGCCCCAAAGTTACACAGAAGACATTTCAGGTCAAGGTTCCCGAGCGGATCAACCCCGGCAAAGGCTGGGATACCTTCATGCCGCCTCCTCACGAGGAAGGGTACTTCGCCGGTTACTCACGGGGGAGATAGACTGCTGTCATGCTGTGTCAAGGTATGGCGAGACATCTGGATCGTCGGGTTCGTGCCAAATTTCTGATCGATGTTTAGCTTTTTTTTTTTTTTTCTCCGATCTTTTGCTTCATGCCAACCACCCGGCTTTCCAGCCGAAGGTGTATAACTGAAGTCACTCCTTCGAGACACCCATCGCCCGCGATGCCAACGAAACATTCCTTCGTTCGATCTGCATGTCGCAGTCGTGATATGCTGAGGATCATCCCTATCTTGGCAGAGCGCGTGCCAGGCACACGCCGCGTCAACGTGATCGTGACACCTCCAGTGACTCGTGCTGCCAAGGCAGTTCACGTGTTGGTCGCTCATATCGAAGGCATAGAATCCGTCTTCATTCGTTATATTTTGATTCTGGTGGCTTTAGGGGATATCAGTTGAATTAGTCAGGACTAGGAAGCAGTGCTTCCTCGGCTCCTCGGCTCCGTCTGACGCGGGTCCATATTAATGATTGCGAGATTTGCGATACTTATAGCGATAATTAGAATAATCATAATGATAATGATAATAATTATATACAATCCTTGGCCTGAAGGATCTCGTGTTGGTTGATACTTGATCGTCCTTCGAGTAATCAAATCCTCAAACTCGGCAGAAAAAGAAGGCCTCGGCTATTACCCGAATGGGCATCCCCGTGCCCGCTCGTCAAAAGAAGTCGTCAGCCGAGTCTTCCAACTCTTGCTCCCTTTTCCCTCTCTTGCTCTCTGCACATTGCATGTCAAACTCCCTGGTCGCCTTTCCATCACGACCAGACCATCACCATGGCCAACAAACGAGTCACCCTGTTAGAGCCCCCTGCGTTGGATGCCTCCAAAGCGCCGATCGAGAATGTCTTGGAGTTGACGCCGGTGGTCGACATCGGACCTGTACGTCTGCCTTCTCCCCTCCCTCACGTTCACTATAACTCACACCTCTATGTCTCATGCAGGATGTATTCACCAACACTCGTCCTCTCTGGCACCCGCCCGGAGCGCGGGGCATCTACGGCGGCGCGGCGATTGCGCAGTCCCTTTCCGCGGCGATGCGGACGGTCCCTTCCGATTTCGCCGTCCACAGTATGCACTGCTATTTCGTGCTGGCCGGTGACTCCGAAATCCCGATTTTGTACCATGTCGAGCGAGTGCGCGACGGGCGCAGTTTTATCACGCGGACCGTCCAGGCCCGACAGCGCGGGCGGCCTATCTTCACCACCACCCTGAGCTTCAGCAAGGCGAATAGCGGCGGCAAGAAGAAGTTGGAACATGCGACGCCCATGCCGGCGGTTTCACTACCGGATGACTCTTTTCCGGGGTCTAAGAAGCGGTTCGACGAGGGTGGTGGTGGACCATTCGAGTCGCAGAAGGCCGGAGTTGTGAATCGTAAGTGTTTGCGGTTGGGGAGACTTTTGGCGTTTCGCCTCAGTTCTTGGTCGGATGACATAACTGACATTGTTCAGGGGATTCGAATCCCGAAGATAAACGCCTGCGACGATTTGTTCGAGCCCGAGGAACGATCTCTGACGGTGGAGGCCACGACGCCCATCTGTCCGCCCTCGCCTACATCACCGATAGTTATTTCGTCGGTACCGTGTCGCGCGTCCACGATATCCCTCGATTCACATCCCCCGCCGAGCTCAAGAAGTTCTTGAACGCGCTCAAGAACCCGTCTGACCTCGATGACGAAGATATTTCGCGGGCTCTCAAGGAGCTGAAGGAGGAAGAGACGGCCGAGTTGCGGCGCCGCTTGGAGGGCGCGCTCAGCAAGGCCACGGACGAGAAGAACAAGGCGGAACATAAGGAGGTTGGTATGATGGTCAGCCTTGACCATTCGATCTATTTCCACAATCCTTGGGCATTCCGCGCCGATGAGTGGATGCTCACGGAGATGGAGAGTCCCTGGGCCGGCGAGGGCCGGGGATTGGTGCTGCAGAAGATGTGGTCCAAGGATGGAACCTTGATCGCCACGTGCACACAAGAGGTATGCTTAATCTATTTTTATTGTCCTGTTCGCTTCAAGGACCAGTCAGTCGGTTGCTAATGCACAAGGTTAAACAGGGCGTTGTGAGGCTGAAACAGGATGAACCCCCTCGCTCGAAGATATAGATGATTTTCCTTATTGATGATACTTCTTAGGTACTTAATTTATAGATAGAGGACGGGGTATGCCGGTTAATTATCCCCTTTCTTGCCATTTTCTTGCATTTGATCTTATATCCGGTCCAACAGATGGGTGACCTATCACAATTTTTATTGTTTCCATAGTCCAATGAGGCTTTGTTTCTGTATATACACATATCTACCTGCAGCATAAAATTTAATTATCAGCTAATCAGCAACGAGCGTGTCATAGCCATGATCCTGAACATATCTGCATACCTTGTCATCATGATGAAAGTAGATAAATACACACCAAAAAAAAAAAAAAAAAAAAGAAAAAAAAAAAACAGCAAAAGACCAACCAAAATCTGACAAGAACAAACATGAAGTCGTAGTCACAGACAGCCAACCAGAACATTGACAAAACAATAAAAATGAAACAAAGTACAGAAAAGGCCCGTGTTGAAATCAGAAATCCGCCCAGCCGTTTTGTCATGCTCAAAAGGAAATGCCACCAATGCAAAGAATAATACTACAGTGGGAAGGGTTCTTCTTCCCCTCTCCCTCCCCATCTCCCCTTCCGTCTTCAGAACGGAACTTCCTTACACCTCCAACGTCTCCTTCTTCTCCTTCTCTTTCATCTCCTCTGCTTCCTTCCGCTGCTGCATTTGGCTCTTCCATTCGCAGAACTCCAGCGCTTTGGCCCCCCAGACCTCTGCCCCCTTGTACTCACCCACGTAATCCGGCCAACTCCGGATCTCCTTGGCCAGGTTCTGCAACTCCTGCATCGGCAACTCGTCTAGCGTCGTCAAAATCGTCTTGACGCCGAACACAATCGTCCCCGTGCGGGGAAGGCGGCGGAAAGTCTGGCGCTCCCGTCGGATGACGATGTCCTGCGGTGATGGGTTCGGGTTGTCCTCCGATAGTGTGGTCGGACGGTAGAGGATCTCGAAGAGGTCTTCGCCGGGGCGTTTCACCTCGACGAAGTAGTTGGATCGTTCCATGGGGGACGAGGGTGTTAGGCGAATGAGAAATCTATTATCACGAGTCGGTTAGTCAAATTGCGCGCTTCCCAACAAATTGTATCAGTCAGGACTAACTTGCTGACAGAATTGGCAACCTGCTGGTGCCATAACGGAACTGGGTTGTGTAGTCGCGAGATCGTCCATCCAATTCGTTCCTGCACCGTCCATCCTACCGGGAATAGACTTGCGCTGGCGGCCCTAGATCCCCACTGTCAGAATTTCCATATCACGCGAAGACCAAGTTGCACTCACAGGTAATACTCATCGTCCGCATTCTTCATCAGAATACTCAGGTCCTCCATGGTCAATCGCACAGCGATTTCCAACGGATCCACATCTCGATTCTGGCCCCCATAGACAAACGTCTCCCCGGTCATCTTATTATGGATGGTCGTCTCGTCGCCGGACTTTTTCCGTTCGAACATATCCGAGAATCGTTGGCAGAGGAAATCGACCACTTCCTCCAATGCCTCCAGACACGCCTCGTATGATTCCGGCAAACACTGCAGCACCTTCTGCTTCTCCTCCCGCAACAATTGGCTCCGGATCTGGTGCTCGTCCATGTAGTTCTTGTCGACGGTGAGCCAGTTCTCCACGTCCAGCCTGCGCACGTCCATCATTACCCGGTATCTCTCTCGTCCTTTGATGGGTTGAGCTGGGTAGGGCGCTATGCGCTTCAGGTCACTGCAACTTGTGCGCGGCGTGGGTTTTCGGGACCATATTGACCGAACTTTGACGATAACGAGGGTGACAAAGCACAGCGTAAGCGCAATCCATGACAAGATATTCATCGCCGTTTGTGAAAGATCGGTTTGCCACCAATGCAAATGATCGAAGATAATGATACAGTGTGAGAGGGAAAGTAACGAAGAGGGAAAAAGAATAAATAAAAAAAAGAAAAGAAAAGAAAAGATCGATTCCGAAGAAGCTTTTTTACAGTCTCACACTCAATTCAAAGATGCCACCACAGACCAGTGCTCGAAAGAATGAATTGACCAAGCCAACATTAAAGAAACATGGCGAAAACTTTCTTACATCCTCGGCGAGGGCGATGAGCTGATACTATATATTTGCCAGGACCGGCAAAGAAAAGAAAAGAAAAAAAAAATAATAAAAGAAAAAAGCTTGGGAAATGAAGATCCTACGGGTCAGCCGATTAGCTACTACTATGGCGCCTTCTCTACATTCCGGATTCAGGAAGCTGGGATGCACTCTGATACGTTCTGCCCTTTCCCCGCAAAAGCCGCAATTCGCCGCCCCGAAAAAAAAGAAAAGAAATTAATAATAATAACAGAAAGGGAAAAAAAAAAAAAAAAAAAAAGGGAACCTGACAGCATCCATGATCCACATGATCCAGCTGAGAATGAGATGATGCTGCTCAGCTTTCAATGCCATCGAACTCCACTGAGAACTCTAAGTGGATAACGAGGAAATGCACCGGTAGGAGGGTCTCCGGCCCCCCCTCTAGGGACTATGGATCCGAACTAATTCATTGACTGACTACTAAGGCTACGACTTTGGCGACTGTTACGGTGCTAATTGCCCTAGTTGGTTAGAAGCTAGTATGTCTCTGTGGTCCTAACTTAATCCTATGGAAATCGTCAGGCGCAGCTCACGCGTATCAAGTCCGTGCGCAATCCAATCTGAGTGAGAAAGAGGCGAAAACCAAAACAACCCGGAAAGAGATAAGGCAAGAGGCAAGAGAGGCAAAAGGTAAGCCGCAAATGAGGTGAGAAAGAAGAAAAACAAAATACTATTTTAGAGAGAAAATAATAGAAACAAAATATCGCCAGAAAAAAAAACAGAGGCCTCGTGAGCTGACCCGACCCCCGAATCTGGAGACGGTTTTTCCCCCTGTTCAACAGTTCCTGCGGTTCCGCTCCAGCGGTATTCGTCTTTTTGTTTCCGACGCAGACGCAGGCAATCCCCAGAATGGTATAATCTCTCTCGAAGGGGGAATTGCAACTACAGTATGTGTGAAAAGAAATACCGCACTCTGGCATGCTAAGCCCCCATGTTGACGAGCTGTCCAGTTTTTAAGATGTTGCATACTGCATACAGATCGTGCATACGAACGGGGGGAAGGGAAGGGCAAGGAGAAAGAAAAAGGCAGACGGGCAGGTAGGCAGACCGAGGAGCCAAAGCCGTCAGCATAATTTGTTACCGACCACAGTCTGTACGACACAAAGGGAAAAGTAAAACCAGCAGCAGCGCGTGGGCTTTTTTTGCGCTCCCCCTACTTGCGTGGGCCGGTCCCAAATCGGCAGCTCGATAGTGACACCGTGGGTGGATGGAAACGAATGATGGGGGCGTTTTTGAAATCCTTACGACCCTACAATCCAGGTACTGAATCTGACTAAAGTCCCACGGGACGTACACATGTACATCATCGAAAAGTCAGTTGCCCTGTGGGTTCCGACTTAAGACTGACGTGCTGGCATGCGCGAGCCAATGGGCCATTCCGGTCACGACCACTGGCCCGGAGGAGTCTGGGCCACAGGCTGAGAGGAAGTGAGAGACTAGGTCGATAGAAGAAGGTACGGAAGGTCGGCACTGACGTACGATGAGCGAGTCCTTGCAGGTCCATCAATTCGCACGCGAAGGGGGGTGGCAGGACCAGAGACCCTGTAGGTACTTGCGAGGTACTGACTACGACGCCCCGTACGGCGAAGATACAGGGCCAGCGGCTAGTGGAAAATCAACAACAACCCGGTAGGCGATCCACCAGGCGGCCGAGTCCAGAATTGGCCTCGCTCGTCTTGTCTAGCGTCAACGCAGCAGCCGAAAGGGTTGCACGACTCCACTCTTTCCAGGCAGAGACTCGTCCGGGGTTTTGCGCTGCAACCGCCTAGTGGGCGGAAAGCGCGCTTGCCGCTGTCTCCTTGGTGACTTTGGGTCCCTCGGCGGGACTATTGACAGTTGCTGTCTTGCTGATCTGACTGACTTGACCATGAGGTCCATGTCTCAACCAAGAATGCGTCTTTTTTCTCTCTGTTTTCTTTCTCACTTGACTTGCATTTCTTAGTGGACTCGACTAGGTGCCTTTTTTTTTTTTCTTGTCTGCCTTCCTCTCTTTCAATTCTTACTGTACTCCGTTTGACCCCTTTCCGTGGGTCCCTTTTTCTTCGCCTTTCCTTTTTGAGCTATTTTCTTTTCTTTTTCCGATTTTGCTTCGCCCTGTCCAAGACCAGTCCAGCCTCCCCTCTCACATCTGACCTACAGAAACAAAGAAAATCCTCCGAGGATGATTCTTGTCCGACGCGATATGACCTCGGCTCAAAAAATAGCTTCCAGCCCTATCTATCGGCCAGCAATCAATAAGCAGGAGATAGTTGCCCTGTACTCCGTATACCAGACGAGGTACAAAGACGCGGTATCTATCCGAAGAACGGAGAACAATGCCCATCATATCATACCATATCATTCTTCGCCGTCGCTCGTCACCAACCCGCCTCACTCCTGAAGAAACTAAAACCAAAAACCCACCGATACCGACCTCTAGACTCTAGCTCTAATATGTTGACTCCATCGACCAAGGACCCAGATCCGGACCAACGAATCATCTAGCCCGAATTACTTTTCCTTTGGCCATGTACTAAAATCCACAGTAGCAGTCAAGTCAACGAATCGGCCCGAACTCCACAACATACCCAAAAAACCCATCGTCTATGATCCATCCCGAGACATCGACCTGTCTAGACACCTGTCATTAAGACGAAAACAGGAAGAAAAGGTACGATCATATCCATGCACAGATCATAAAGAGAACATGAACGGGTACGGGTACGCAATGCACCTGGATGGAGAAATAACGGCATGCCCGTTACTCGATTCGGAGATCGAACGGCCTGTCTACTGGTCTCAGAGCAGGGGAAAGTGGGTAAAGTAGAGTAACTAGGCGTAGGGTCTGATAAAAATAAATTGAAACAGGAAAAAGAAAAGGAGATAGATAGATAGATAGGCAAGTCTGGACTCGACAATCGACAATCGACATCCACTCGCAGTCTCCAAAATCCCAACCCTGGACCCAACCCCTTTTCGAACTACTGCGTAGTCTGAGCCGTTTTTTCTTTTGGCGATTTGCCATGTCGATATTTACTCGTTAGGGAGTCCCCGAGAGGGGAAGAAGGATTTCGGTGGGACCTCGGTGTTCAAGACTAAATTGTTAGATCGATGGTGCACGGACTTGTCTGTAAGCTAGTCGGTCTAGTGTAGTTGATGTGGTGGTGGTGATTCTGGTGGTAATGGCGATGGTTCTTGTGGCAAGAGTCCTCCGGCTGTAGCTACTCGGTAAGAAAATGGTGAGGCTATACTAGCAATTCATTGTAGGCGAGCACCTACCTACCTACCTGCCTGCCTTATTATGGAGTAACAGTAATATATACACTACTAAAGCCCTCTACACCCGACGGTGCACAGTAGGAACTCAAGAAAGCAAATCAAAATTCCGAAGTTAACTAAGTTTCCAACTAAGCCCAGGTTCTCATTCCTGACCCTGCAATCTACACCGTACTGAGTAAGTCCATCTACTGGGCACCTCCCTATCAGAAACCCCAATCTCCAATTCCGTCCACCGACATATAACATATGTACGTACGGAGTGCGTTGGGGAGCAAAGGCTTAGATCCGATCCTCCATCCCATAATAATAAGTTAGTTAGTCAGTTAGTTACACACCCCCAAAACTGCCGCTTAATATTCACACCGAGGTACTCCGTAGACAGTAACTAGAGTCGAGTCGTACGTAAAGATTCTCCGCAAAATGATGAACTAGAAGTTGATGCATGCGGATCCGATCCCCGTGCCTCGCCTCGCCTCCGTCCCGTTCTCTGCCTACCCAGATGGGATACGATCTGATTTGATCTGACATAAGAAAGAAGATCCTCACTACATCATTCGGGATGGCGACTCCGGACTCCGGAAATGCGTAGGTATGTATGTACTTTTGTTTTGGGGGTAGATTGGGGGGGGGGGAGTTCTAAGTTGTGTTTTGCTTTTTCTTTTTTTGGTCGATTTGATGGTTATGCATATCGGATGGAGTACATGATGTGTATGATGTGTCCTTTGGGTTAGGGGGTATTCTGCGGTAGTTGGTTAAGTAGGAGGAGGTGTTCTTTCTTGTTTTTTCTGGTTCTCGTAGTTGGTTTCTCTCTCTCTCTCTCTCTCTCTCTCTCTCTCTCTCTATTATTGATTATCTTTATATCTCTATTCTAATTTACTTCCAGGCACTAAGTCTGAATATTAATCGATCATCAATAAATACACACTACCGAATACAGATCATCTAGCCCTCCAAATCCTATCTCAAAAGGAATAAGAAAAGAAAATCGAATCTTAAAAGCAAATCAGACGTAACACAAAATCAACTCTCTCAATCAGTCAATTTCCCAAAAAGTATGAAAGAAGAAGAAAAAAACCAAAGAAATTCAAGTCTTATATAGCCCACCCCTCCCCCCCTCACTCACATCCCCATAAAAAGGAAAGAAAAGAGATAATAAGATTCTACATGCAGTGCATCCATACATTGTCGATATGTATGTACAATCGATTCTGATCTCAACCGATACACCCCGTGCCATGGACACTCTGATCCTTCTACATGAAGTAGGATTGAGTTTGAGTTTGAAATTGCATTAGTTAGTATCTGGTAGACTCCAATCTGATCAACGGAGCTTCTTATGAGTTATGTCATTGTACATATATATATACTCAATACCCCTGATGGATGGACAGTGTCCAACGAACCGACATCCATGTCATGTATCTTAGTTAATTCGTCCGCCCATCAGTCC